CTTCCATTCATCCCCTGGCCGGATCCAAAGAAGGTTGTAGGCTCCCCGGAGGTCAATCTTGGTGAGCCGGCGTGCCCCTCGAAGACGATCCATGATGCTGTTAATCAAGGGCAAGGGATAGCGATTCTTGATGGTGATATTGTTGAGTCCACGATAGTCGACGCACAGACGGAGGGAACCGTCCTTTTTCTTGACAAAGAGGACTGGGGCACCGGCGGGAGACTTGGAGTGCTTGATGAACCCCTTAGCTAGGTTCTCTTCAAGGTAGTCACAGAGTGCCTGCATTTCAGGCTTGCTGAGACTATAGATCGGGCCGAACGGTGGCTGTTTGCCCTCTTCTAAGTCGATGGGACAGTCGTAGGGTCGGTGCTCTGGGAGGGTATCCGCGTTCTTCTTGGCGAAGACGTCCGCAAAATCTTGGTATTCTTCAGGAATGATGGCCTTCGGATCTTTTGGAGGAGTGGTCGCCAGGGCTTGGGAATCTGACTTGGTCGGATTGGCGTAGGCAATGAATGCCTGGTCATGCCTTGCCGCCACACGGAAAGCTGGGGCGCTCATAAACGATACGTGGATCGGTGTGGGTGCTGGGTCCAGTGTGTTGGGTGTCTGGGCTAGGGAGACTGAAATCTCGTCTTGATGGATACGGATCAGAGGTTCAGGGGTTTTGAGGGCTTCGGGCTAGGTTCTGTTGGCAGGGCATCCCAGGAGGCGTATTGTCCAAAACCGCAATGGCAGCGGACGCAAAGAGTGCGAGTCTTCCAGTGTAGCTCCACATCATGGAGCTCAAACCAGGGAAGCCCCAGGATGATTGGCGCATGCGGGGAACATGTCACATGGAATAGCACCTCCTCAAAATGGTCGTTGACCCACATGCCCAAAGGTTGGGTGTGATGGGTAATGGAGCCCGCATGGCTGGGACGTCCGTCAACCAGTTCAAGCGCAATGGGGTCCTCCTTCTTGACAAGTGGGATGCGGTGCTTGCGGGCATAACTTTCGTCGATGAAGCACGACATCGCACCGGTGTCAAGTAGTGCTGAAAGCTGAACTGGAGCTCGCTGGGCCGATATCTGCAGGGTAACAGGGTACTCGAATGGTGAGGATGGGCCCAAAGTCCGCATGGGTGAGGGTATCTCAGATAGGAGATTGACATTGTTGGTGGTCAGGAGAAGGGTGTTGCTGGAGATGCCAGGATCGGAGCAAGGTTTTGTGGCTTCTCCCTTGGCAGTACTTGCGTGGTGAGAAGGCCCAGGACAGGTGTTGCCCAGCTGCTCAGCCTTTACTGCAGCTGGACTTGGGCAAAATCCTGGATGGGTGCAGGTTCCTTAACCGCGACATTCGCCGTGCGTATCTTGTTCGGGCAGAGTTTGGCTATGTGGCCGGGTTTACCACAGTAGAGGCAAAGTTTGTTTGTGATGCGGTGTTGGCGCTCTAGCGGTGTGAGGGGTCCTCGCGGACGAGCAGCGTCAATGATCATAGGGTCGTCTGGGCGGTTGTCGGGGCTCATGAGGGTGGGGCTAGTGGTAACTGGCACATATGGCTGTCGGTTCCTGCTTTGCTCTAGACGGCGCTCAAACAATCGGGTGTCACATTGGATGGCCTGTTCCATCACGGTGTCGATTGAGGCGGTAGGGGGCCATCGTGAGCATTAAGTCCTTGACGTCTTCTTTGAGGCCGCGACGGAAGGTGGCAATCAATGCCTGGTCATTCCACGACACATCGCATTGCAGCTGTCGGAATTCAGCTACATACTCTGTTGCTGCACGGGTTTGTCGAAGGTTCTGGAGCTTGTTTTCGGGTGTGCGGGTCCTGTCGCTGTCTCCAAAGACTGCTTGCATTTGCTGGATGAAATCATCCAGGTTTGTAAGGGAATGATGGTCTTGTTTGACAAGGGGCGCCAGCCAGGCCTGGGCAGTGCCAGTGAGGTAGGTGCCAATAGTTTGTATCTTGGTCTGATCGTTGGGGTAGCGCCTGGGTTGGAGGGCGAACATGAGCCGGATCTGGTTGAGTAACCCACGGAACTTGCTTCGGGTGCCATCAAATTTGTCTGGGAGACTGATTTTGGGTTCGGGGGCGTGGGTGGCAGGGGCAGTGGTCTGGGTTTGCGCTAGTTCGGCTTGTAGGGTGGTATTCTGCGCTCGAAGTTCGTCAATCGCATTGCACATGGCTTGCCAGGCTTCGGCCGTGAGGGGAAGGGCGTCGGACATGGTGATTTGGCGTGGAGGTACAGCGGCTGGGGGTTGTTGAGCAGATCAAACAGCGTCGTCCATACCAAACATAGCAACTGAAACAGGCCGATCGAAAGTGCATTGAGGAGCGCATGCAGCAACTGACCGAGGTGAGCCGCATCGTTCAGCACAGACTCCGAGAGGCCCAGGACAGGCAGGCAAGATACTACGACAGGAACAAGAATACGGACGCGTTCGTAGTAGGCGACCAGGTCCTGCTGAACCGCAAAGGCATCCAGATCAAGAGTATCTCGGCCCGAAACAAGAAGCTGTCCGCGCTATGGATCGGGCCCTTCACCGGCAGCGGAAAAGGGCCCCACCCAGACACCTACGAGCTGGAGCTCTCCCACGAGTTCAGTGGACTACACCCGGTGTTCCACGTCAACATCCTACGCAGGTACAACCCTCCGGAGAACGGCCCATACCAAAAAGTGGACGCGCCACCCCCCCCCAGAGGAAGTCAACGGCAAACTCGAACACCGAGTTGAAGACATCCTCGACTCCAAGTGGGTACGCAACACCGAGATGTTCCTGGTCAAATGGGCCGGCTACGATGTGTCCCAGAACACCTGGGAGCCACTCCGACACGTCCGTGACACCTCGGCCCACAAGCGATATGTCCGAAAGCAAGCCGCCAAGCGCCAGGACAGTCGGGAGACCAAGGCAAAGGAGAGAGCGGCAGTCTCCCGTCGCTGTAAACGTATCTGAACCTTGTACATACATCAAAACAGAGTTTCTAATGTCCAAAATGATCATTACCATTACGGACTCATGCGGGCGGGTACTAATACCGAGGCCTATGATGCGGGCGGGTACATAGTACCAGGGCCTATGATGCGGGCGGGTACGTAGTACCAGGGCCTATGATGCGGGCGGGTACGAGGTACCAGGGCCTATGCGAGCGGGCAAGCAAGGTGTCAGGGCTCATGCGGGCGGGTATGCAATACCAAGGCCTAGGATGCAAGCGGGTGCGAGGCACCAGGGCTCAGGACGATCGGTGAAGTACCAAAGGGAAACGCTCCGAGGATATCAAATTCAACAAAATATATACAAGAAAGAAGAACGATGACGCCAGGCTAAATACCAGCCTGTTTGGCGAAAGACCATTGGCAACGTGAGCCGTGGCAGGCGGTCCCCATGCCACAACCCAGCGGGACGAACTGCTGGAAGTTCATCTGGCTAGAGGGAGCACGTCACGTCAGTGGCGGGACCTGTCGAAAACTCACGAGTGTTGTACTTATGCGCGGACATGCCTCATACACTGGATGTGGTTGCAGGGGAAGACCCGCACGTCCTCGGCCAGACAATCGCAGTCGGGCCACACACAGGTGCAGGGTAGCGCCTGGCAGAAGAGCGGCACTTCACACTCCTCCCCGAAACCGTCCACGTAGCCGCACGTGGACTCCCCGATGGGCGTGTCGGTCTGTCGGGAAGAGACGTGAGCTGTCAGTCACCCCATGGGAACCACCCATGACATGCGGTTCCTTACGGTGTCATCACAGAGCGGGAGGATGCAAGGCCGGCATATAACGTGCTGGCACGCCAAGAGGAACATCTTGCGGGGACGGTACGTGTTGCAGTTCCAACACGTAGGTCGGGCCGGTGGAGCCGGAGGCTCCGGGGTACTGTCCGTGTGCACCTCGGGGGTGTCCTGAGATAGAATCGGTCAAACCACGTAAGTTGGGTCAATTGGGCAACCTCCGTGGACTCACCGCTCGCTGTCGCTTGAGACCCTTCTTCAGGCTGTCCCCTGTGGTGGGACCCTCGCCTACTTTCTTCTTACCCGATGACGGGCCGGCGGCAGTGGGCTTGGCAGAAGGAGCTACGCTGGCCACAGTGAAGAGGGGAACGGCGACGGTGAGAGGTTACGAGATTGGGGGCAAGAAATGTAAGTCTGGGGACTGGCGGGAAGGTGCCGAGGGGAGTACTGCCTTCCTTTTATATGCCGCAGGGACAAGGACCATAGCGCCCCACGACCAGCTGCGGCCAAATCATCTCTACCTCATATCGGCGTGGATCTGATTGCCATCGTGGTGACGACCGGTGACGCCAGCCGCTCCAGTAGAGCCATGCGCACTCCTCATGGCCGACACCCGTGTCAGCTCCACATCAAGTAACAGCGGGGAGCGACTGACAGGTGCGGTCGGTGTCGGAGTGACACTTGGCTCTAAGGGGGGTGTAATGAGGTGCTGCAGGTGTCACCTTAGTGCGGGGAAGCGCGTAGGGCATGAGATCACGTGTAGCGTAGATTATATTGGGGTTCTACGCTCTGGGGTGACTCCCAAAGGGAAGAAAAGCCTTCGGGCGGCGCCCCGGGAGGTAGAAACTCTAGAATTCTTTCAATACATCGAGCAGAGACAGAGCTAGCCTCTGGCAACGGACCTAGCATTATTACAAGGTCGGTTGAGAACCAAAGGAGGAACCCGAGGTTTAGTCATAGGTCAAAAGTTACCCATGACGTGTTTTCAGGAGAAAAACGTTAAGAATGTCAGGTGCAGATCCAAAGAAAAACATTCAATCGCGCGTGATGACAAAATCAAAGCGACTGGCATTTTCTATAATTGGGGGTGTAGCCACCAGCAGAAGTCGCCGGCCTGCCTGCCCATCTGAAGAAGTACGGAAATTGACAGCAGCTGGTCGTTGACTTCTGGGTTGCACACGGAGGCTTGGCGAACCCGTCGTACCCGGACTATTGGCCACCTACTGTATACAAGTCTCGCCGATGCCCTTCTTGGCCGCCGTCGCTCGCATCCCCGGCCCTTTGCCTTCCTTGCCCGAAAGCGTGCACCCTCCGATGCACGTCAAGTCTAGTCAAGAACGCGTGCGCTCATAAACGCGTTTTGCGCAGTGGGATCTCCGATCGCGCCGACTGACAGAAGGAAGGGGTCCTAGGACTTTCGCCAACTTGTCCCAGGAACGCTGTTCGTCGCATTTTCAACCTTCGTCTGCAAGAATGCTGCGGAATATCCACCTTCTGAGTGAGATACCCAGATATCAGCCGCACTTCACTCCCCCAGGGTCTCAAAATTATCGTCGTGCCATCTCATCATATAAGAACACCGCGGTTTTAGACCCTCACAAACACATTCATCACCACTGCGACACCCAGAGCTGAAGCAATACATAGAACTCGAAAGTAAAAGGATGTCATTCATCCCCGACCCCGAAACAATCCCTTCAGTTTCCTACCTCCCCTTCCGCTCCGATATGGCGCGGTACATGGTCGCCGAGATTCGTAACATCGGTACGGATAAACTGTTGGTTTCCATTCCCCGACATACTATGCGTCTGACGCAAATCATGTTTCTCCCCATGATTCACTAGCGGCAGGCCTAGCAACAACCGGCCTAGCCTCCCACGCCGACAAGATAGAATCCGGCCTCAACCGCATGGGCACCGGCGTCGTTTCGTGCGGCTACTCCATCCGTGACGGGCTGGCGGCGGTCGGGATCGGGTTGGGGGTTGGGTTGAGTGTTATCGGGGCGGGGACAATTATCAGGGCGTTGAGGGTGGAGAGAGGGGAGAGGAGAGAGAGCAGGAGGAGGAGGAGGAAAGGTAGGGATAGAAGGTATGTGGGGGAGGGGAAGCGACACCGGTATTGGAGAGATTCAGAGAGTAGTGGGAGTGTGACGGCGAATGAGGAGGATGATCATGGGTATGCATCGGCTAGGAGGAGGTCGTAGGGATTGCGATTGGGATGGGAAAAGGGGAGAGTGATAGTTTTGTTCATTTGTAGCTGGCTACATGCAGTTTTTGGGGTTCATCTTGTATCTTAGTTTCGTTTTTGGGAGGCCCATATATATACCACGCACTTCTTTACCGTCGTCGTCTACTACATACCCTTATCTACTCTGATTCCATCCTACATGAGAAGTCTTCGTCCCTGCGACCGTTAGCCCATCGACATCCGGATTCCAGTTCATCCTCTCGCCAGCCCCTCATTTCATCCGGCATCCGCCACCTATCCTCGCCACTCTGCCCAACCCATTATCACATCACCCTACTTCCTTTCCCACCCCTCTCCCCCTCCAACCTCCTCGCCTCCTTCAACCCCTCCATAACAGTATTATGACAATTATACAGCTCCCGCAACACACCCACACATTCAGTCGGCGTCCCCACGTTCGCTTTCAGACAGGCCTGGTAGACTGTGATCTCGGGCGCGCAGGCTTTTTTCACTAGGCGCAGGCTTTCTACACTAAAAATCGGGGTAATCATAGATGTGAGATATGTGAGAATTGAGAGAAGGTTAGGGAAGGCGTGTGAGAGAAGAGGACGCACTTGGCCTCAGCACATCTTGTGACAGCCTCCTTCTCGCCTTTGCAGTCCGTCTGCCAGGTGTCTGGGTGCTTCTGGACGCACTGGGTGTAGAAATGGAGCTCGGTATGGCAGTGTTTTGCTACTTCTTCTAGGTCTGTTGGTGGAGGGTGTGCATAATGGTTAGTGTTAGGTGTTCGTCCGTAGGAGTGTAAGGACGGGAGAATGAGGTCGCTGGTTTCGGGGGAAAGGGCGGCCCCGCTGCTTTGAGGCGTGGGGGTCATGACCTGTATAGACGGACGTACCTGACTCCATTTCGTTGTCGGCGGTGGTAGTGCGAGCAAAAGGGTATTGGGGTCAACGGGACGGACGGAAACAGCGAGAAAAAAGCCCTGGTCCTTTCCGCACGCGTTGGTCGACGACATTTGGCTATCCCAAATTCCCAATGAGCATTGCATTCGGCCAACGGCAGGAAGGGGAGGAAGGACGCACACCCGCAACCCGCCGCACAGGACCCCTTTCAAGGAAGTAACGCTACGGGCAATGGGTCTCCACAGTCAAGCTCACACCGCCAGCCCGGGAACGCAGTCAGCCCCCTCCCAGCACCCCAGTCCCCTCGACAAGATGACAACCCCAACCCCAACCCCGGCAAACCCATGGACATCCCTCGAGTCCCTCATCCTCGTGCAAGCAGTCTACCGTCACGGCGAAGACAGCTGGACGCAGGTCTCCAAACTGCTGCGGAACCACCCCGCATTGTCTCGTGCGCCTGAGTTTTTCGTTCCCAAGGTTCGGTTCTGCCATAACAGGAGAGTATGACCGGCCATATGGGTTGACATGTTTTGGTTGAATAGAGCTGTGAACGACAATATCATGCACTTTTGGCTGAAGCGACCGAGTAAGTCTTCCCTTCGCGGGGTGGGCCCAGTCCTTTGAAGGCGGGCGATCTAGCACTGCGGGACATGCGGCTGACTATGAGGCTTAGAGCAGATAAACGTTCAGCACGGGATGTGGAGGACCCTAATGCAGGTATGAGGATAGAGGGAGGAATATGGGGAATGGGGCGGTGGGCTAATTTTTGGGGGCGAATGTTTCACAGTGGACCAGCTCCCAATCGCGAAAGCGGCGCGCAGACTGCATATCCAGCGGATAGATGAGATCAAGTTGAAGTTGCGGGAGGAGGAGATATTGTTCCGGTATGAAAGAGGGCGATTTCCTTCAAGATTTGGCGAGGCACGCCCGCTTATCACACGAACTGTAGAGAAATAGTGCAAGAAATCGACGAGATCAAATCCGGCAAATGGGATGCAAAACTCCGGGAAGCGTGGGAGGCTGAACAACAAAAGACCAACGAGGGTGGTGATAGTGAATCTACCGCCATGGAGGTGGACGATGCAGCAGCAGCCGAGCAGGGTGGTGGGGATGTCCCCATGGACGTAGATACAATGCCAGCAGTGGTTACAGATGCCGGGCTACCACCCCGCCTGCGCTCTGCATCACCTGTGAAAAAGACCCTCAATACACGGAACAGCAACTCGCCAATACCGCCACCCGAAAAACGCACCACGTTAGAAAAACTCAAAGTCCCCGTGCATACTGCCACCGCCGTGCACCAACAACACCTGTCGACTGCGTCACCGACTTCGGAAGCGCCGAGCACGATGTCGCCTGGGGGGAGTCCCGTGAAGGCGCGGGGGCCTGGACGACGGGGTATGTGGATTAGAATTCGTGAATTTGGATGTGGAGAGGAACTGACTATTGGGGGACGTGTAGGGAGCCTAGCAAGCGCGAAAATGAAATCCAACTCGGATCCGGATCTAGTGGATGTCGATTCGGGGGCAGAAAATTCCGGTACGTCCCCATACACAACCTGTTGAATCACACTCCCTCTTCCCCACCAACCTAATCTCCCTCCCCGACAGACGGCGCCGACCCAACCCGCCGCCGCAGCACAACAACCCTCACGTCCAAAAACGACCCAACCCTCGCCATCTGGAAAAAAACCGTCTACTTCATCCTCGCCAAAATCGCAGACCACCGCTACGGCAACGTGTTTGCCTCGCCCGTCCGCGAGGAGGGGTACCAGGCGGTTGTGAGGCAGCCGATGAGTTTAGATCTTGTCAGGGCGAGGGTTCGCAAGGGGGTGAGTATAATGAATATCGTCGCAATTCCATGTCTCTGTCTGTCTGTGTGCTGATATGGAGGTATGATGGTTTTGGTTTAGATTACGACAACAACAGCAGAATTCCACCGCGACCTCCTGCAAGTCTTCACTAACGCCATCATGTACAACAACGAGGACACGGAGGTGTACTCCATGGCATTGGAGATGAAGGAGTTTGTCGATGCTGAGGTGCAGCATTTGACCAAGTATGCGAATGATCCGGGGAGTCGAGGGAGGGAGGCCAGTGTTGAGGGTGGGGAGGGGTTGGAAGGGGTATAGGGTGCGCTGTGGTGGTTGGGTGGGTAAATTCGTGGAGTGGGGAGCGGGACGTCGGATCTAGGATGGCGAACGTCTACCCCTTGCTCTTTGTATATGTAGTATGTATTTTTGGAGAGCCGGAGCAGACCTTTGTGGATATCGCATTACCGTTGGGGGATGCCATTGTGGAATGTATGCTGGAAATCGTCCTTGCAATTGTTTAGAAAGGCCGGACGTTGGTTAAGTGTCGCATGATATGGACTAGGTTTGACGGGGCGGAAGAGGAAGACGCGGCCGTCAAAATGCGCCACACCCACTCCGACGGGGACACATTGCTCCCTATCGACGCACATTTCGAGACTTTTCCCCTCCCAAATTAGTATACAGGTATCTAACCCATACACCACTGAGAAGACAGCGTTGTGATCCAGAGCGCATACTACGCTCGTCCTCGAGAACCACGATACTGTCCCTCCGATGGAATTCAAATTCGACATCCTCCACGTCCTACGCAAACCCGTGTCGGTGGTTACGGGCGACAGCCTGCCGCGGAATCCTGTGCTGTACGTGCTATGAGGCTTGGGGTTCGAGAATCGAGTGGTCGTGCTGATTGATCGCGGACGTGTATGAGAGCAGGTTGGAACGAACGGTGGAAATTATCGACGAGCTAGGCGTCGCCAGCGCCAAGGTAAACCAAACACACATCACCCATCCTCGTCCGCCTCACACACCCCTAACACTCCCCCCATGTCATCTCACACCGCAGGCACAAGGCCTCCGCCGCCCTGTAACAACCACCGACCGGCTGCAAGCCAACCCCACGCACAGGATCTACATCGCACGAACCCCGGATCCGCCACAACAGTCGGATGGGGATGAGAATGTGAACGCGGGAGGTGGACGGAGACAGAGGGTGGTTCGTCCGGCGGTGTATGGGATGCTGAAAGTGGGGATTAAGGGGTTGTTTGTTGGGGTGGGTTTGTATTTTTCGTGCATTGCCGAGGGGAGGAGGGGGGGGGGAGAGGAATTGAGTCTCTGTTTGGTAGGATGAATACGGCCGCCAACTGCAAATCAACCCACTCTGCGTGCTGGATTTTTATGTGCATGAGTCGGCGCAGCGGAAAGGTACTCTCGCTTCTACTCTTGTGTTTCTCAAGATGACCAATGACCACTAATGGCATACGCATGCAGGACATGGGAAGGCGTTGTTTGATTATATGCTTGGGGTACGGTTTTCAGGCATTTTGTGGAGGGAAGAGACTTGGGGTGTGAGCTGGAGAGACTGATGTTTTACAAATGTAGATTGAGATGCAACGACCGGGCCATTTGGCGTATGACCGGCCGTCGCCGAAACTGATTGGGTTCTTGAAGAGGCATTATGGGTTGACGGAGTGTGAGTATGCGTTGTTTGGACGGTCGGAACAACGGTCGGTCATGGACTGAGAACTCATAGCACTAAGTTGGCATTCCCCTGTGTTTTTATCCCAGTCGTCCCACAAGCGAACCATTTCGTCGTCTTCAAAGAGTATGGGCTAGGAAGCCTGCACGTCGGTAAGTCCTCCTCCTCCCTCCTCGCCGCTTCCCTCCCCTCCCACCCCACAAAAAACTCACCGGCACACCCTTGCTTCCCAATAGACCGCGCCGGCCGCCCCATCCCACCAATGCCGCCCCTCGCCTCCGCAATCACAAAAGGCACAACCTGGCAAGTGAAGCATTTTCGCCGGCGTGCCCCGTCTCGGGGCTCCACGTCTTCTGCTTCTTCCCCTGCCCCATCAACATCAATACGCCGCGGGGGGCGACAACGACAATCATCGAATTCTGGGGTGGGTGGAGAAGGTGGGAGGACGCGGTTGGCGCCGATGGGGGATGAGGGGGAGTCGAGGGGGAGTTCGAGGGAAGGGGAGCGGCCGGGGTCTACGACATCACATACACAGGGACAGACACTAGATGCGGAGAGAGACAAGGAAAGAGAAAAACTACCTCCCCTCCCCTCGACGTCCTCCCTCACCGCCGTCTCTGACTCCCCACAACCCCAACCCCAACCCCAACCCCAACCCTTCAGCTCCGCGTACGCGATCGCCATGGCTACAGCCGCACATCGACGGGCCGTCAACCCATTAAAGACGAAATATGCGGCGTTTGCGGTTGAGGAGAGGGCGGCGGGGGGGAGAGGGAGTGTGGGGCCTGCCGCGGGGATGGAGAGGGTTCTGAGGGGGAGTGTGAGGGCGGGGTATCGATAGGGGAGGACGGAATGTGCGTTGTGAGTGGGATGAAGGCTTGTGGACCGGGCGGGATCCCGGTCCCGAGTCACATCAAACGAATTGTATATAGCAGCGCATGAGCCCCGGAAAAAGCCATGTGTTAGGACATCTGGGAAGTAGCACTCGAACCACCAATGATTACCATTTCAGCATCGCAAAGTCTGTACGAATTGCATAAATAGTAGATCGCATCCCCGCTGGATTCAACAATCGCAGAACAATCTTCTGTAGCTCCGGGATCTTGTCCACAAACACATCGTGGACAGACTGGAACAGCACAGGACGGCGAATTGTCGATAGAGGGCGTAATGTCGGGAAATGATGGCTTGCGGGCATATGCGGCGATTGCGGCAAATTGTCGAGACGTCCAAGGATGGCGATGTGCTATGCAGCAAGTGGTCGTATGCGGCGAGGTGGCAAAGACCCAACACCAGGAAGGGGTGCTACTTACTTATCCCCGGGAGGGGAATCAGGTCTGAGGTAGTTCTCATAGCCGCGATGCGGCGAGCTGTCGGAAGGGCCATACAGCGAGTTAAGCGAGGTTCTCGTCGGACGCACACTACTTGCATTCGAACAAAAAGGATGTTTGGCGACCACGCACACGGAAGTTTCGGAGGGGAAACTGAAATCCCGCATCTTTCACCCTCTCCACCTGCTCGTTTCCGTCGTCCTTTGGCTTCAAACAAATTCAGCACATCCAGACTATCGTGAATATATGTGTATTATGGAGCGGACGAAATATCCAAACTGAAGTACAATAGATTGGATTCAATCCGATTATCGACCGTCTTCGCACGCCATCGCACTTAAGCAGGTTCAAGATTGCTATCATCATAAATAAGCCATCCCAACACATTACGGGCCGGGTCCCTCCTCCTACACAATGTGAATCTACTGAACTGCCCCCGCCAACCCCCAAACTTCTCCGCCGCATCAACATCGTCCGCCCGTGCCATTATGTGAATGACTTCCACGACATCCGCCTTTTCCATTGCTGCATACAGATGTGCGGCTTTCAGCGCCCAGAATCTCCGTCTATGTTGAAAATCAATTCCGTGGATTCCGTAAAGGTGTTCGACAATATACCCGATGATCTGATATATATTTGCTACGGGAAAGCGACGGAGTTCATAGTACTTTTGAAGGTGTTTTGAAACCCGGAGCAGAGGAAGGAGCTTCTTGAGAAGGTCCGCATCCTTTGCGATCGAATTTGTGTTCTCTTCCTCCCAGGCCGGCGAGATGATAAAAGGGCATATCATATTGTATGCGTAAGGGAACCCGGGATCGTTGTTGATTTTGCAAAATTCGATGTCTTCAGCAAGCTGTCTCCACTCAGAATCGTCTTTTGGTACAATTGAGCCAGCCGTGATAGGGACGTTCGCCTCTTGAACAAGATTCGCCTGGGACGCGGAGACGAACCCAAATTCCGATCTCAGATAGGCTATACCTAGCTTGCTCCACATCGCGTAGGCGGTGTTATCCAACGCTTTGTATCCAATATCTTCGGAATACCGGTGTTTATCATTGTGAAATATTAGTCCATGGGGAAGCTCCTTCGTTTCCAGAAAGTTGTACATGACGAGAAAGCGGTACTTCGGGGAGGAAAGCGCCGAGTTCCATGCCTTGCAGGTCAAGAGACAGCTGAGGAAATCGTGCGGAGAATCTAGCGCAACGATAGACAAGATGCGAGGCACTAGCTCCGGCGGTAGAGAATGCTGCGTCGTTGTAGATCCAAAGAGATTGGTTTGAGATGACCACGATGGGTTGACGCGAGCGGATGCAGAACGTGCTGGCAAAGTCGGGCAGTCGAAGATGTTGAAAGGGGGCAGAGGGGGAAGTCGCAACGGTTCGTGATCGGCCCGTGGAGTTGCAACATCCCGGAACGCCCGCAGCAGATCCGGGTAAGTGTGGTCTCCCATGTCTCCTGGGAACTCCTGGGAAAGCTGAGCGTAGCTGAGTGGAAACCTGAGTGGAAATGTGAAATTGAGGAGGGGCCTCGCGTGGGAACTTCGGACCCTTGTGCAGCTTGTCGTTGCGCAAGTCACTCGTGCCTCGGAAGTTGCACGCAGCACAGGAAGCACAGGCATGCAAGACGCTGGCAAAGGCAAAACAATGAGCGGGTGAGTGACTTGGAGCTTATGTTGCCACAGTCAAAAAAAAACCATGTTCTCACGCTAACACAAGTTCTCCAGATCGATGGTGACCTCGCCAGACAATAGGCCCAATGCCGTGGAAGCTGCAATTCTCAAACAGGTTGAATACTATTTCGGAGGTAAGTGCTTCTGACCAAGAGCAGAAGTCGAAGCTTAGTCTATCGCACGGCCTAACTCACCTTCCACAGACGAAAACCTTCCAAAAGACAAATACCTCAACGAAGTCCTCCGGCTGCACCAAGGCTGGGTTCCCATTTCCGTCCTGCGGAGTTTCAAAAAATTGAAAGCAATTCAGTCCGACAGCGTGCGGATAGCAATTGCCTTGAAGAAGAGTGATGGGATGCTTGAGGTCGATGGGACGGGGAAAAAGGTTAGGAGGAGGACGCCGATATCTGCGAATGCAAAGGGGGTTGACAAGGAGGCAAAGAGTAAGGGGGGGAAGAGGATGACAGAGGATGAGCAAGGAGAACAGAATAGCGATGAGGTATGTGAAGGCAGCTTTCTTGGGATATGGGGGCTTCCTATGTTTGTTAGCTAAATGTTCTTCTTTCCTACTCGCCTAGACCGCGTCAAAGAAACCTCGCCAAACACAGCCCACCGCATCCACCACTCACCCAACCCCAACCTGCACCCGCTCCCACCACCACCACAGCAACCCAACAGCCACAGCCCTCGACACCTTCCACACCCGCCACTTCAGTCAATCCGCCAAACAAACCTTCTTCCATAACCCCATATTCGGGCCTCTCACATCTTCTACGGCCGCGCCAATGACGCATGATGCTGACAATTACTGGTCGAAGTTGTGCACACCGTGCGCAGAGTACTGGTCGAGTTACTATAGCCAGCAGCACGACACGCTCGACGTCACAGGTGTCACAAATGAAACTGCCCTGACTGAGGAAGATGAAACATGGGAAGCGGAAGAAGATGTTACATATGACGAAGAGGTCGCATACGACGATGAAACCGAACCATCCTACATCCTAACCCCCGGCATGATCGAAATGTTCCAGCACTCGGCCAACTGGAAGATCGAGAAACGGCGGATAATGGAGGAGATGGAGGCTAAGGAGGCTGCTGGTAACACATCCTTCATCAATCAATCCCCTGTCCTTCTCACCCGCCCCATTACTCACACTTTTCATTCCCCAGAAACAGCAGCATCAACAGCCCAATCAAACCACAACACATCAACACCCGCCCTTCGCTTCGCCGCTAAACAACAACTGTATGGGGCGGATGGTGCGTACAAGGTTATTCTGATGGAAGACGCTTTGGCGGAGTTGGTCAAGACGGGGACGGAGAAGGGCAAGGGGAAGGGGCGGAAGAGGGTGTTGTGGCCTATTGTTCCTATCAAGTAGGGCTAGACGCAGGGATTGGGGTACGGGAGGTGGGAGTAGCGAGGGAGGGTGATTGCCGTCGTTCTGGGGAAACGGAGGAACGAAGGTGCATGGAGGTAAAACACAAGTTTATGAGAAATGGAGTTTGGTTGGGGCGGGTTATTTACTGACGGAGCGCAACTTTAACCGCAATAGGACACCCGTGCGCCATCTTTGACCGGGCATTGAGCGGGAGTAAAGATTCTACCCTGGTGGGTGCATGTATATAGGTCGGTGGCTGATGGGCCCGCCGCAGATCTGGATAGAAATAGCTCGTAGGTGCCCGACATCCGGAAACGCTTGCGGAATGGGCCGGTGTGAAATCGGTCTCCTGCCGCATCAGACCGATCTTTTTTAAATCAAATCATAAACATGCCTTCCAGCCCTCATCCCGGTGTGTATCTATCCGTTTATGCTCTTATAGCCCGAATAGTAAGCTGCGGTAGTAGAAATCCGCAGACCTGAGCAAGAACGGGATTTTGCAGAAGAGCGGTGGGTTTGAAGGGCCACGGCGGCGGCTAGCAGGAGAACTGGAGGGGAGGAGACGACGCTTGGAAGGGAAACAGGCCACCGAGCACTCCAACTAGAGGAAGTACGAACACCAGCCAAATCACTTGTCCAACTGGAGGAAGAGCAACACCAGCCAAAAGACCCCGAGGAGAAGAAAAGGAGAGAGTTGGCCTGAAAAGGCTAGCTGGCATCAACGCTTCTATGCGAGATCTCGGCCCACTCCGCGGGAAACATTCCATAGATTTGCTGGAAGACTGCAAGCTCGAAGACTAGCGAAGAACTCTGATCAGAAGAACGAACGAGCCAACAACTCCATCCGCCAATTCTCTGCATGCGTACATGTATACCATGATTCGAAAATGAGGCCTCTAAACCCATCAAAGGCTAATGTAAACTAAACAAACGACAAAAGGAGGGTGGGTCTACAACACTATTATTAAGAAAAGCGCCCGTCATGATGTTCCACCCAGTCCATCTCATATGTGAAGCATCCCATCACCGTCCCTCATTGAGAGCCCTCAAAGTCGGCTTCCTCCTCAACGGCACCTGCAGGGCCGGTTTGGTCCCATGCCGCTCGTACATTCGCCCAAGGAAGCGGTCGATGCCGTAGGCCATGTAGTGGGAACGGGGGGAGGAGAGGATGTCGAACATGTGGTTTGCGCACTAAGGAAAGATAGATGTGAGTGTGGGTAGAGAGGGAGGGGTGGGGAGGGGATGGAGGCACGTACCGGGAACTCGATGTAGCAGATAGGTGACTTGGAGACCTTTTTGAAGCTTTGGACGAAATCGCGGACGGAGCGGAAGGGGACGAGGTGGTCGGCGCGGCCGCTGGTTGTTGGGGATAGGAAGGGTGGCATATCAGGAAAACCCAAACGTTTTATAGTGGTCTGGGAGAAAGGCGACGCAACTTACTGGAAGATCAAGAACGGCGGCAACTCCTCCGCCCCCGTCATCGCCCTCGGCTTCTTTCCCGCTTCCTCCTCACCAGCAACCTCAGCAGCAGCCACAACCGGCGCCTCAGCTTTGATCCTCGCCTCCTTCAACCCCTCCCCATGTGCCGGCTCATGTGACTCAGTAACCTGCGCGGTGACACCCGCCGATTTCCTCCTGAGCGCCTCGATCTGCTTCAACAGCAAGACAGGGCTCGAAGCCTTCAAAAACTCTTCATGGGCAGCATACCCATTCTTCCCGAACCCCGCAATGTACTGCGAGAACCATTCCTGGAACCTGTACCGCCAGAACCGCTTATGGTTGGTGAGATCCACCACGGCGTTGGTGAGCACGCAGGCCTGCACGGTCGTGTCCACGTCCTCAAAGCCCGGTTGGTAAAGCGGGTCGTTAGGGGTGAGCGCCGCCATGGAGGCCAGGTGGCCGCCCGCGGCGTTGCCGGAGATGGCGATGAAGGAGGGGTCGCCGCCGTAGCGGGCGATATGTTGGCGGACCCAGCGGATGGCGCGCTTAACGTCGATGAGGTGCGTGGGATACTTGGAGTGCGGGTAGAGGCGGTAGTTGACGCTGACGACGACCCAGCGTTTGAGCGCCATGTAGGAGACGAAGGGTGGGGTGATGGTTTTGTCGCCGGTGGACCAGGAGCCGCCGTGGATGTAGATCTGTGAGAAGGGAGGGGGTTGTCAGCGTACAGCGTTCCATCACACACACGCCGGGATTGCAGGAACATACCAGAACGGGCCTGTTTCGAGGGTAGCTTGGGTGCATGTGAACATCGAGGGACAGGTACAGTTCGGCGGCAGGGTTGTCCGACGCCTTCAGTTCCTCGTTCGTGGCATAGCAGATGTCAGGGTGGACGAGCACGCCCCTGGCGCTCCAGAAGGGGTTGAGCAGACGGAACCAGAATCCGAGGCTAGAGACGGGAGGGATAGTGGTCAGTCTCGCCATACTGAAAAAAAGCCCGTCCCGATAATCAAAATCAACGAAGCACGAACGCGATGCATGCTTCGCTCGCAACCACGATGTTGGCCGGCGAGAATGAATCTTGCTTGTGCTCACTGCAAGCGGCTTCGCCAACTTTGCAGAGGCCTTCCCTCTGCCCTGTCTCGGCGCCGAGCCCGACCCCCCATTCACATCTCCCTCACGTTCCAACTTACTGAAAGAACCCCGGCGGATCATTGGAATCCAGAGCCCTATACTGCTTCGTATTCTCCTCCACAATAAAGCGCGCAAAATACGACTGCAGAAACAGCGCCCAGATGCCCAGACACACCGCTACATCAAGATAGTACAGCGCGTGGGCGATCGAACCCAGGCAGAAGCACCATGATCCGCTGTGGCCAGCGGGGTAGGCGTCAAAGATCCCGGCGCCGGAGGCGAAGATGATGATAAAGAGTTTGAGGAGGAGGAAGATTTGGGGCATCTCTGTCCTGTAAGCCATAAACGAGTGGGTCAGCGAGAATCAACATCATTCGAAAATGGGACCAGGCCATGTGATGAAGCACGGGATGGATGAACGATGCTCGCTGTCGCTTGCAGGGACTCGCTTCGCGCGCCAAAGTGTTCGTGCAGGTCGCCAAGCTCCCAGGACGAATGAACCTCGAGCATCCCTGAACACCGACCGCTTCGGTCGCCGCAGTCCGCAAATAAATCCCTCGCTTCGATCGGCACCACCTCCTCCCCTCCTCACCCGCTCGCTCTCTACCCCTATCCCACCACGCATCCTCCCATCCCACAACCCCCTGTCAAAATTCAACTCACATAACACTCGACAAAATCATGACATTCAACCTCCACTTCCGAGTCGTCTTTGCACTTGGCGGGACCTGCGACAGGACCGCGAGTGCGCCCGGGAGGAAGACGGCGGCGGCATAGACTGCTAGGCTGGCGTAGAGGCGGAGGGTTGACGTTGGTGAGGAGGAGGACATTGTGGGAGTCGATATTATGGGGTATGATGGGACGTGATGATCTAGATATGTATGAGCGCAGACGGAAGAGAGGGACGGACGGATGACCTCTCCCTCGCTCTTTTTAGGAGGTCTGATGGGGAGTGAGTTTGGGAATGATGTCTGGGGATGTCCAGGGGGGGTGCTGTCAAACGAGGCTTGCCCGTTGGAAGTGGGCCGCTACTGGCGACAAATTTGAGCCCGTTTTCTCTCGCGGCTTTCCCCATGTGCTTCTTGTGCTTTTTCGGGCTCTTTAGCGCGTTTCCGTGCGATTTACTGTATTCCTCGGCGGCCCGTCCACATACCTACTGCGTTGTACTGGGTAACGAGAAAGGGCGCCCGCAGAGTCCATCATGCACTCGTCTTCGTGTGAAAGAGGCGGGGGCATTTGGTAGATCAAGGCTGCTCGTAATATGACACCTTGGACGAACGGACGAATGTACACTTTTTTTCGTGGTGTGAGGAGAGCTCTCTTCCACTCCAGTTCGGGGTTGCGGGATAGCTAGGTACCTATGGAACACCCTCCCACCATTGTGCCTTTCCACTGCCACTCCACCCATCCCACTTCCACCTCTCCCACCACCACCCTAAATAACCAAATCCAACTCATACCTCTCATACACATTCCTCTGATCATTCTCAATCCTCGGCCAACACGCCACCAGCGCATCCTGCGCCCCAATATACAAATTATTGTATATCTTCCAATACACCTCCCTCACCCTCCGCGCCGGATGAAACAGCCCCTGCATCACATAGTGCAGTATCACAGCCGGTCCGAGGGCCACTCGCAGGCCGTCGATCGCGTCCATCACCGCGTTGATGACGTGCGGGGACGTTTCAAAGATGTTGGGCCAGACAGTGTTGAGGAGATGGAGGAGGGCGTCTTCGCAGCCGAGACCAAAGACCCCGAGGGACATGTGTTTGACGGTTGTGCAGGCGGTCTGGCGGTGGACGAGGTCGCGGTCGACTAACGCGTCTTCGAGGAGAGGCGTGACGGCGTAGATGTAGTCTTTGCCCATTTCGCCGATATACTCAAACAAGAAACTCAGCGATTTCAAGACTCCATTCTGAACGTTCAGTTCCGGGACTCGGTACTCGTTCATCAACGCAGGCAGGACCGTGAACGGCGAACATGTTTCAGCCACGATAGCAATCGCGACTGTGGTGCAGACTCTGTTCTGACGTTCTTGGACTTTGAGGTTGTTGAGTAACGTCGCGAGCACGTCTTGCGGGCCGATGGCTTTGGCGATGTAGCCGAAGGTGTTGACGGCGGCACGGCGGATGCCTTTTTTGTGCGCTTTGAGCATGTCCAGGAGCTCGAAACAGACCCGCATCCATTCGCGTGCAGAAACGAATTCGGCGCCGCGGTCTGCTATTCTTCCCACCAGGTCAATGCTGCGATAAGGAAAAGAGAGGAATCAGAAAACTGCAGCCTCTCAACCCGGAAGTAACGTCACTCTCTCCCCACACTCACCAGTTCTCCTGCACCTTCTCATGCCTATTCTTCAAAATCGGCGTCAACCTCGGCAAAAGATCCTTAATCGGCGGCGTCATATTCCCCATCCCAATCACATTCACAATACTCTTCAACCCCCTCAAAATACTTCCCAGCACCTCCGGATACTCCTCGCCCAGGTACTCATACAACACCACGCCCAACTGACCCATCAGCTTCTCCTCCCCACACGTCTTCATCACCACCGCGATACGCGAGATCAGGTCCGCGGCCTGCTGACGCACTTTCGCGCTCTTGTTGTTGAGCCGCCAGAGGATGGTCGAGCAGATTTGTTGCAGATAGGGTTTGACGCGGAGGCCGAGGGCGTTGACGACGGTTCCAAAGCCGTTGAGCATGACGATATCCTCCACCGTCTGTTCCTGGAACGCATAGAGCACACCGTCGATAAGCGTGACTTCCAACCGTTCATCAATGTCGGAGGTGCCGAGCTGCGACACGACTTTATCGATTGTTTCCATGACCATCTTGCGGTAGGGCTCGCTTTCGTCTTTGAGGTCTTCGACGATTTTGCCGACGATTTCAGCGACGCCAACGCGTTGGGCTAACTCCACTGTGGTCTCCACTAACTGCTTGTAGTTCCGGCGATCGAGTGCCATACGACGCACCCAAAAGTGCTTGAAAAACTCGGGCAAGATCTCCGCTTTGATGTAAGCCGGTTCAACCCCGTCAGTGCCCGCACACTGCTTCACAACCTTCAACACAATCTTCTTCATCTCCTCATCGGGCGACTGGAACTCGCGGATGAGGATAATCATCACCTCCTTCGTGTAATAATTCGCATACTCGGCGTCCATCAAAGGTATAATGTATCCGATCGCCTTCAAGAAGGCCGCAAGGCCTTTACCGCGGTGCTTCTTGATCCCCGCCCACAGGGGTCGGAGGACGATATCAAACGATTCGATACCGTAAGGTGCCGCGGCTTCAGCAAGGGCGGCGATGGCGAGGGCGGTGATGGTGCGAACTTTCTGCTGCTCGTCTTCCAGGCCGTGAGCGATGGCTTCCACCAGACTCTTCAGATGCGGGAGGACGGCGCATCCCAACAAGATCGCAATCTGCTGCACGATCTTGATACCCGTGTGCCGAGCCTGCCACGATTTCTTCGATCTGCACACGGCTTTCAGGAAGGGGAGTAAAGAAGGGATACCCAATGCGGACGCGACGACAGAGAAGGCGCGAGCGGTGGTGTTGCGCACGTATTCATCCACATGGTCGATATCCGGGCGCATGGTGGCGATCATGGTTGCCAGCCCCGCGGCTTTACTGAGGTTGGAAATGATCTCCCGCCCCTCAACACGGGCGTAGTAGTCTTCGTCGATGAGGAGGGGTTCGATGACGACGAGGATCTTGTGCACGTAGGGGCGGACGAGGTCGTCAAGTTTGTAGAGAACGCGGTCGATGACTTTGACAAGCAAGTGGCGTTCTTGGTCTTCCAGGGTTGGGGACATGAGCAGGGGCAGGATCTGGTTGAACAACGGGCCGGCGCCGAAATCCCGGGCTTTGTCGGTGATCTGCCTCAGAGCCGTTTTACGCATCGGCGGGGTCCCGTTCTTGATTTTGAGCAGCAACCGCATGATCTTGCGCTCTTTCAGTTCCTCAACGGTCAGTTCCAGTTCCTCGCGCTGATCCAACAACTTTCCAAAATGCTGCATATCTTCCGGTTTGAAGAACTGCAAGCCGCCGACCCCCGGGATCTCTGGCGGAACATCGTACATCTGCGTGCGGTCCTCCTCCTGCATCATGAACCCTGCGCCCGCTTGGCCCGCCATGGGAGTCGGCGTCGCCATCAGCTTCCGGGCCGGCGTGCGGATAGGTACGTAAGTAACGGGAGGTTCGAGGATCTTGTAGCCCTCAGTGGGGAACATGGCATCGAGGTCCTCGTCGGAGAGGTATCGGTTGCGGTAATCGATCTCCTTTTCCCATCGTTGTGCGTTGACGGCCTCGGGCGTCATGGGGATTTGGGAGCCACCCATAGGCGTCATCAACCCCATGTTGCCAACGGGGGTTGCTGCGAATTGGTTGAACGTGCCCACAGGGGTTTCGTCCCATCTTGAACGTTTGGTACCTCCGGGCGTAACTCCACCAGCGGCGCTGGCGACCGGTGTCGCATCCCACGCCGACGAGCTCGCGGTATCAACCGGCGTCTCATCCCACCGATTCCTCTTCCGCGCCGGCACAGCTTCTGCTTTGGGGGTCTCATCCCACTTGCTAGCCTTGCTCCCTGACGAAGGCGCCGAATCATCTTCCTCCCATTCCGATTTCCTCTCCTGCTCATCCGAACCACCCTGATCCCATCTCCGTTTCCGCGGCGTCGCTGACGTGGCAGCGGCAGCAGCAGCATCAGCCTTCGCCTTCTCGACAGCCGCCTTAGCCTGCGCCTGAGCCAAAGCCCTCAAATCCCCAGTCCCCTCCATCTCCCTCCTCCTCTCCTCCTCCTCCTTGCCCTTCTCCGCCAACTTCCTCTGCAGATCCGCCGCCTCCCGATCCAGATTTGCCTCCCGCATCACCTCCGAATACGACCGCGCCTGTGCCGACTCTTTCTCCCCACCGGTTGAAAACGCATCCACTCGCTCGGGCGATAACTGCCGATTCAGCCGTCGGGCGTGGTATTCGGACTCCCTATCCGCAATCTTGCGCGACGGGCGGAACGACTCCATTGGGTCCGGTGCATCTTCCTCCGCGGTCGTCTCCTCAAAGAACTGTTTGGGCGCCGTGACCGAAGACAGTTTCTTGCGTTGGTTCATTGCGGGATCTGCTGCATCATCGTCGTCGTCGGCATCATTCACCGGGAGGGAAGCGCTGTAGCCTTCGAAACGGGATGCGCCTTTGCCGGCGTAGAGATCGGTGTCGTAGCTGACGTCGCCAACGAGGGAGGCTTTGTCCGTTTTCTTCTCGCTTTTGCGGGCGGCTTTTGTTGCCCTGATTTGGGCGTCTAAGTCGTCTGCCATGATTGCTGTGTTTTGATGTTTCCCACTAATACGATCCGCTAAAAATTTCTATCCTCTGGGGTGATTCCAACGAAGTATAGCGGGGTATTGAGGAATATGGTGACAGAACGTTTGTGTATGGAGTTCTACTGCCCGTTATGGTATAGAAGAGAAAGTGGGAGAGCAGGACGACGACTGCAGGGCCAATCTGTCGTCGTTGTTCGGTGATATCTTCCCCGCAATCGGTGGCCTCCAGGGTCTTATTCAACTCAGGGACAGGCGCCACGTGAAGTCTTTCGCTTTTATATTGCGCTGACACTCCAATACGCTTCTGCCCTACGACGCCTATACGTGCAGTACGCACGGGCTCGCAGCTAAAAACGACAAAAAAGGCTAAGAAAGCCGCGGCGGCTGCTAAAGCGGCTGCTTCGGTGAAGACAAAAACGGGCGTTGTGTATTCGGGACGCATTCCGCATGGGTTCTATGAGGACGAGATGAGGGGCTATTTTACCAGTTTATGGATGTTACGAGGTTGAGGCTTTCCAGGAATAAGAAGGTGGGTTTTTGGCCAGAGGGATAGCGGGTGCAGGCGGGACACTTTTAGCTCGAGGCTCAAATACTGCTATATACAAAAAGGAAACCCATCCTCCCCTCCCTCATCGCTCCATCCCTCCGACTTCGCGCTTTCCACCCCATGTTCGCGCCTGCCTGTGACCCCAGTAGTGTGGGCATGATAGAATCATAGGTACGGCGAAGCTGTCCATTTTCCCAGGTTGCGGCGTGAATGGTACATGGGACGGGAGGCGGTCGTTCGACCTGCTGGTGCCAGGTGTGAGCGGCTCGTGCCATGTTATACTGGTATCACTAGACAAGATCGGCCTTCGGTGGGGCGTGCTTCGCCAAAGCCTCCTTAATCAATTCAGTAATATCCTCCGCCTTCGCCGCCGCAATGTTCGCGCAACCGAGCACCTGCGTTGCAGCAAGGGGCACACCTCCCGCTTTGGAGAGAGTGCAGATCTCGCGGTGTTTGTTAACAACGAAGGTCATTTCGCCGACTTGTATTTGCTCTTCGAGGAAGTTCGGGTCGACTACTTGGCGTTCGCTGTGGGGGAGGTGTGAGAGATGAATGGGAGCGGGTAAGGCGGATTTGTTTAGGAGGCGGTGCTACATACCCGTCGTCGAAGAAGGCGAAGGTGACGCAAATGGGGATGTGGTGGACGCTGAGTGGGATTGGATTCCGTTCTTCTACCGTGTGCTACATGAGATCACCGTGAGCGTGGTCAGCTATTGAATCCTCAAAGCCAGGCACCGGAATCACATACTGTTCGCTTACGATGGTAACTGTCTCCCCTGTAACAGTAACATCCGGCCTCCTAAAATGCAGCAACGCCGCAATCGCCGCAATGCACGCACAATCCACAATATTGCCCTCATGATCCAGCACGCGTAGATCCACTCGGAGCTGCCACACCTTCTCCCCGGCAACAATGCACAGTCCCTCCGTGTCGATTGCGCGGGATTGTCGCAATGCCTTTTCGAGGAGCCGGCTGACGAGGACTTCCTCTTCTGATAAGCTGCCCTCTTCGAATGCGGGGGAGGCCATCGGGGAGAAATCTGTGTTGAATTGGACGTTGCCTTCAGTCGGTGCGTTGGCGCGGGGTCTTATGATTTCGCAGGATACGTTTGCTGTTACTCTTCAGTAAAGAAAGAGAACCTGGTGAGCGGTGAGCGGACTTGTACCGGTGGTGGGAAAGTCTTCGTCTCCAACGATGTTGGCCATCGATGCGCATTCTTCCGCCAGCGCGCGATCAGCACACAGTACGCATAAACGTAGCCATGCCCTACTCCTCCCTGGTCCCTCGTCGCCCGCGGCTCCCACTCCCTAATCGCCTCTCCCTCTCTCCCACACCCACCTCGTCTTCCCCAGTCTGACTTCTGCGTGCCCCGACTGTGGCCCCAGCTCGATCCTCGTTTTGCGCACGTCATGTGGCCCTCTGCCGTCCACTCTTAGCCCTTGCTTGAGGGCATCAAGGATGAAAGCCTTTTCATTATTGCTTGGTGGTGCTTCTTTGCCCATCTTGTCTGTTGTGTTTTTGGGAGTTCAGCTGCGAGTTCGGCTGTTCGGGGCAGTCCTGAGGTCGTGGACGCGAGGGACCCTGTCACGTGATCCCGTCTTTCCAGACGAGAGACGACAGGACAAACAAGTCCAGGACAAACTGACAAAGGTCTTCCCAAGTCCTTGATTTCGTGGGAGAAACCACTCGAAGCAACGGCTCGTCGGCTGCACTACTCAAGAAAGAGGGCCTGTAGTAGTGGGAGGTAGAGAGAACCGCTGTCGCCGCTTTGACTTTCGGGACAAGAACGGACATCGACAACTCTGAAACGACCGCCGCACTTGGATCTGACCAACTCCAGCGCCGAAAACAACTTCTGAATCGATCCTCCAACCACGTCACCTCTTCGACGATGTCCATAAGAGACACCATCGAGTTCGACAAGGAGCTTCACTCTCTTTACGAGACAAAGCTACCAGTGTCGGCTTCAAAGATCAGCGCCCTCACAAAGCTCGCTGTGAAGCATGCTAAGGTACGGAATTCCTGTGTCTCAATTATCAGTCCCCTTCGCTTTTGGATCTGATCTTAATACATTCTCCACTCTAAACAGCATTACAAGAATATTGTCTTCAGCATCGAAAAATTCGTGCAAAAATGTCCCTCGGAACTCAAGCTGGCTGGGCTGTACGTCATCGATTCTATAACAAGGGCCGTAGCGAAGCATCCTGAGGAAGGAGAAGAGTACATTGCAAGATTTGAGGAGAAACTGGATACGCTTATTCCGCACTTATTGCAAGCTCCCCAGAAAGACAAGGTATGATTTTTCTTCAAAGTTTCAACTACCTATGGCAGTTGGAATTCATGTCTGAATCTCCATTCTCTCCCCAAAAGGATCGGATCAAAAGGACCGTCGGATTGTGGAAGAAAGGATCTCTGTTCAACGTCAGTTTGATCACCGACTTGGAGAAGAAGTATTTCACAGAAGAAGCCGCCGGCAATGGAGCTGTTTCCGATCCCCGTTTAGCAACCGGAGGCAATATACCCGGGCTCAACACACCCGCTGATCCGCGACTTGGGGGAGGCGCTCCTGCAGCGTCAATCAATCCTGCGGGCTCTTTGGGAGGGCTGGACGCTTCCTTGTTGGGTGCTCTAGGATCGTTGGGAGGACAAGCAACTATACCGGGAGTGGACCTTGGCCAGATGATGCAGCTGTTGCAAGCCCAACAGCAACAGCAGCAACAGCAGCAAGCAAACCCTTTGATCAGTCAACTGTTAGGACTGCAAAATAACTCATCCCTAGCTGGCCTCGCCGGGCTGAACGCTGGATCCCTGGACGCTACACAATTGGCGACGCTGTCTTCCCTTCTTGGAAACTCCAATGCGAATGCTCAACAAATCAACACCGACAAGCAGGCAGATTTCACAGGATCACAAATGTAAGTACAAACGTTACTGCTGCCTATGTTGGACCGTGTGGAAGTGCAAGTCTCTGCTCAGACTGCACATGGGCATATTTGCGATTTCACCGGGGATAAAGTCAGGAGACATCAAACTGGACGTTGTTACCTGCTGGACAAATATTGGGCGTATACTTTCGCGAAAATACCCTCGTTAGAGTGTTTATGGAGAGAGAAGTGTGATACCGGGGTTTCTCTATCGACCGCCGGCGGATATCGTAACGTATACACCATGCACAATACATGTTGTTCGGCTTAATAGAAAAATCTTCTACCGTCTAGTAATTGACACTGAGATTGAGAGACTGGGAAGGACGGAAACTGGATTTGAGCACGCTGCTTCTGCTGCTGCTATGTGCGGCGCGGCCGAGCTCAAGCGTGTCTCTGTGCGAATGGGTTTGGGGAAGGGGGAACGGTATGGCTACTGGAGAGCACCTCTAATCATCCTGTCTACCATTCTCTCCCTTTGCACATCCACATGACAACTGGAACCCCTCCCACACATGAAATCATCCAAATCATTTGACCAACCAAAACCAATGATGTCGCACCCTACACGCACATCACACGCACATCAGGCCAACAGCAACCATACCCGCCCAGCAACAACAACCGTCAACCCAAGCCCCTCAGCAACACCACCACCGCGGACCAACTACCAGCGTCCTCGGCAGCAGCATCCCCTGGATGACGCAACCGCAGCCGGTCCCACCCGCCGCTGACACACCCACATCCGCGGGCGCACAGGATACTCAACAACGCCCTAACACATCCCGCTGGCAACAACAACCACCCACCTCCACCACCCCCAACACAAACCAAAATCAGAACCAATCCCAAACATCCCGCTGGGGCCCTTCCACCTCCGACAATCAATCCCAACAACCCATAGGCCGCCCCATCCCCGTCGTCGGCTCCGATCGCGAAGGCGAGACCGCCGCCACGCCTTACCAGCAAGCACTCGCGCAGGGTGCGCAGCCGGCACAGCCGGGGGATTGTATGCCCGGGTATGTGGATCCGGGCGTGCCCAAGGAGTTTATGAAGAGTAAGTGTCGGAAGTTTGAGTTTTGGGAGAAGGGGTATGGATGAGAGGCGATGGGGAGATGTTAATGTGGGTTTTTTTTGGTAGTTTTGACACGAACGGTATACGTTGGCGGCATCACGCCGAATATCACGAAGGAGCAGTTGAGGGATTTGTTTGAGACTATTGCGCGGGTTGATACTGTTACCGTAAGTCTGGCCTGCCCCAACTTTCTCTTAGAACATACGCATTATCTGACATGTGATATCCTTTTGTCAGGTCAACTACCCGAAATTCAACGCCTTCGTCAAACTCCTCACCCGCGCCGAGGCCGATCTGATCAAGGAGCGGTTTCATAAGTATACGTTCAGTGGGAGCATGTTGAAGGTACGAGAATGCGTCCCAGTTCTCCACGCTCTTGTTCTCCAGTACCGCCGAGACTGACACCAAACCCTTTTTTCAACAGCTCGGCTGGGGCTGCGGCTACGGCCCTAAAGAATTCTTCGACTACACAACCGGCGAGACTCTATTCCCGCTCGCCCGCATGTCGGACGTCGAGCGGCGCACCATCTCCCAATCCCCGCGCGGCGGCGGGCAGGTCGAGGGCGGGATGGTTGTTGAAGAGCCCGATTTTGGGTGGCCGCAGAAGGGGGAGGTTATCAAAGGGAAATATGCGGGAGGGGAACTCGTGCATGCGCCGGGGTATTTGGCGGCGGTTGCGCAGAGGGAACGGGGAGGTTTCAATAATCAGGCGACTGGGAGTGGGCCCGGGGCCGGCGCGGGTGGATTTAGCGCGAGGGGTGGGATGGGTGGGGCCGGTGCTGGCGGCGTAACTGCGATGAACATGAACATGGGCATGGCAATGGGGATGGGCATGGGAATGGGAATGGGCATGCCGACACGCGGGATGATGCCCGGCTTCAGCGGAGGCATGGGCATGCCCCAACAACAACAGCGCGCGTCGTATCGACAACAAAATCAACCCGGCGGCGGCGGCAGCCCCGGCGGAATCATGGTCGTCGCGGACCGCCAATACGACGAACGGCAAGAATCGTGGTCCCGCCCACGACAGGGGCAGCAGGATCGCGGGGAAGAGCATGTTGTCGTCCTTGGCGGCGGCGGTGGGGATGACGACGATGAACATACCAATACCCCTGCTCCGATGAAGAAAGAAGAACCCGACGCACCCGACCACCATCATCAAGCAACCCACAATAAACCAATGCATCACGGCGGTCCCAACAACACGAACTTCCGCCACCGCCTCCCACCCACCGGCGCAGGCATGCCCCCACCCGACTTCTTCCCCTTCCCGCCCTTCGGTATGCCGGGAATGCCCATGCCGCCACCAGGCATGCGTCCGCCCCCGCACCACTATCCTCGACCTGGGATGTGGGATATGCCACCCATGGGACCGATGGGCCCGATGCCGCCGCATATGGGTATGCCGCCGCCACATCATTTTGGGGGGATGGGGCGGAAGAGGGAGAGGGATGAGCGGGGACCGGGTGGGATGGGTGGAGGGAGGGAGAGAGAGGAGGAACATTCGAGGGATGGAGGCGATGAGGAGGGGAGGAGGATTAGGGGGAGGTGGGATTGAGGATAGAGGGTTTCGCGCGGGCTTTGTATTTGTATTTGAGGAATATAAGATTTGGTTTATCTTTCGATGCCTTCTAGCGATGCCTACTCGAGATCTAGAGATCTATCCTTGGAGAGATATGGCACCACACCACTTCATATTACCGCAATGGTCCCCGTCCTTCCTCAGCTCGCATCAGGCAGATGGACCATATCTCATTACGATGCTTCGCTTGTTCCTTTCTTTGTATCTGTTTGTTTTTTCAGGAGAAGAAATTTGAATCATACTTTTTGGTGCCAGGTGGGCGGCCGACCCGTGAGTTGACGGTTACTGACACTATTTTATGCTCGCGTCCTGACAGTGACAGTGACAACGCTTTTTGGGAAAGCACTTGTCGGATGTCATATGGTATTACATGGATAATACAGCGGATGATGGTGTGTGTAAGTATCTATCTATGGTCTCGTAGCACCAGGCTACGAAACAGAAAGGGCTCTATATTAAAAGCGTTGCTTCCATTCAGACCTTCCACGGCTTGAACGGGTTATCCACACTGTCCATCACACTCTTCAACTCCGGGAAGTGTCTCGTCACAAGGCTCTTGAAGTTGCCCTGCGTCTTCACCCACTCGATACCCTCCTTCGTGTAGATCTCCGGGCGGTAATCGTCCGTGAAGAAGCGGTCGGTCCACAACCTCCGCGCGGCCATGAGGATGAAGACATGGAACTGCGTGTCGCTGAATCCGTATCCATCGGGTCTGGGCTGCTCCGCCATGCACCCGACGAGGAGGTCGACGTCCTCGGGTGACGCGTAGACGCTGGCGAGCTGCTTTTGGACGGCTGGGGACGGGTTGATGTCCTTCCAAGTCTTGAACTCAGGCTCCATGTTCAGCGCGCGGCGGAAGGCGAGGTACCGCGGGATGCCGCGCTCGCGGTCGCGGAAGATCTATTGAAGAATACGATGATAAATATCAAATAAAGGAAGGTGAAGAGATTGAAGAGAAGCTTTGGTCGCTACCTCTGTGGTTGCAAGATCTATAACGAACGGTTCACCCGGTTTCGTGAGGTTCATCAACCATGTTGGGTAGTTGTTCAATGTGAGGGCGCCGGGGACTGTGGCCCCAAAGGTCAGCATGACGTCGGCGAGGGTGTTTTCGGTCACGGGCTTTCGGGCGCCGCGGAAGGTGATGTCGGCCAGCGGGTATGTCTTTCCGGTGGGTTTCTTGGTGGTCGCGGAGAGGACGTTGAGTGTGTCGGGCATGAGAGAGTGGAGGCGGTAGACCGCGGAGAACTCCTCGGTGAGGGAGAAGGGCACGCCGTGAAGGTCCTTGTTTCCGCCGACGATACCGGTGAGGACGCTGCCGCCCTTCCAGTTGTCGAGGCCGTCGGGGAGGAGACCGTCCCAGTTGGCCTGCATGGCGGTTTTGAGGATTTTGTTTTGGAGGATGCCGGGCGTCCAGTCCAGGGTGTGGATCTTGGCGTTCTGTGCGGTCAGGACTAGGCGCGCCATGTCGTGCAGTTTCTGGTCGGACCAGTCGGCGTGCTTGGACTTGAACATGTCGCAGATGGCGTTGTGTTCGCGGGTGAAAAGCGTGTGCAGGAGCATGATGCCCGTCCACCAGTTGTCTTTGAAGCCGGTGATGTCCATGCCGTCCGTGTCGAGTGGGAGGAGGCCGTCGGTGTCGAGGCGAAGCTTGCCGTCGACCCCGGTCCGAATTCGGTTATTGATCTCGGAGGTCACCCCGTAGATTTGTGAGAGGTCCCACCAGTGCGACTGGATTGAGGAGACATTTGAGATATGAAAAGATGACATGCTGATTTATGGGATTTGGCGACGGCAATCGCAACTTACCACTTTATTTTTGAAAGCGGCAGGCCGGCCGGGAGACGCAGCTTTCTGTGCAGGGTCTTGTACAGAGCGGGGTAGGTAGAGCTTCTCTTTCTTTCCGGCGAGCGGGTCGTCTATGGGGATGGGAACCTCTACAGGACTTCCCCATGCGCGCTCGTGGTCCTGCGTTGAAGGACAGGGTTAGGGTTAACTGGGAAGGACACCGTTGCTCGCCAAACTTCCTTCCCCCTTTCTTACCATCCAATCATGAACTTGGAATTGAATCCAAGCCACAACAAACAAATTAACACTGCTCGCCGGCGTAAATTCAGTTCTCTTCAGCAGCTTTTGCGCAACCGTCCTCGGGTTGGGGCTCATCAGCTCCTCATCACTCTTATGCTGCGGGATCTTATCCAGCGCAACGTTGCGTCCGAATCGGTAGCCAACGCTGCCCATCTTCGGCAACGCAAGGTCATTGCAGCTGCCATCGAGGGTGCGAGCATTCCTAGCGGAAGCGTCGCAAATTCCTTGTGGATATTCATCGGCCACGTAAGAGTCGAAGAGGTTGTGCTTGAAGAGCTCGTCGCGTGTCATAGAGAGCGCCAGGAGTGCAAGGACTAATCCTCGTTGCCACCATCGCCTATCAATTTAGAACATTTATTACTTAAGAACATTACGGAGTCCCAAGCATGAACCTACCAGGCGGAGAAAATGCCAGGTGCCGCCGCGGCCGCGGCTGGGGCCGCGCGCTGTACGAGGCGCGTAATGGAGGGCATTGTAGGGAGGTTTCCTAAGTCGTACGCGTTCGGGTGGTTCCGTCGGTGAACGGAATGGGATGCGGAGACAGGGGCCGGCGGATGTGCGGGTGCCGAGTTATATCCTCGGAGTCCGCTGATGAGCAGACAGTGCCTGAAGCTTGAAGAGTTCTACACCTCGAACTCCCCATCCTGCCGTACCGCCAAAAGTGCAAACATTCAACCAGGAGAAGATGACAGGAGCGAAAACTGAGAAACGGTGGCGTCGAAAGCAATCTATGCGTTCTGGATAACGAGCAACACCTCCTAATTTCAGATGCGGGTCCTTCCGCATGCTCTGTTGTGCAACTCACGGTCCCAGACTGTTCAATACTTCTCAGCCGCAACAGATCTTTTCAATTTCACGGTCAGAGAAAACCTTTTCACTTTCACGGTCACCGTGGCAAGCCACTCACAGCGGGTTAATCCGTTTCCTTGTCTGTGGCCCTGGGATGGGATGTGGAAATTGCCATATGCGAGCTGGTGGATCTCCACAGCTGTCAATTGCACGAGTCCCTGTCAATTCCTGTCAAATGCACATCTCTGGTTGGCGTCCGAAAGTCATTCTTCACACGCAGGCGCCTGCTGCGGCCATCTTGACTTTTTCTCGGTTGTAAATTTTGCATCTAATTCACAAATTGGGTTGTGGCTTCAACAAAAAGTTGTTGGAGACCGTCTTGGAGCGGCCCAAAATATGCAAATAGTGTCCTTGGCGCGGTGTACTATACATCTTTTGCTTGAACTCGTGGGTCAGAACACTGAGAACTGAGAACGGCAATAGCCTTATCGGCGTTTCGAGTCACAAAAGGAGGTTCGCCGAGCGGTCTATCCCTTCTGTAAGAGCGGATGCCCCGTAGCGCAGATGTTCATGTTACACTCGTTGTATGTTTTGCCAGCCCTCGCATGCGTGTGGTTAGCCACTGTACGCATCTTTCCCATCTCGCTCCATCTTGCGGCTGCAAAGGTACCCAAAAGGCTATGATGTCTCATCAGATGCTACATGTCATTTCGAGCCATGCGCATGCCACCTTGCACAAGAATTTGCTGCCGATCAGGCCCCTACCGACCTATTTGATGACATGCGTTGGCGAGAAAAAAGGTTGGGGAAGACCGATTCGAGAAACTAGCACGACTTCTACCGGTTCGACCGGCGGCTGGGCCGCTAGCTGCGCTACTTCGTCCAGGACTCAATGACAAGGATGTTCAAGCGTATGTAGTGCTTTAGCGTGGTGCGGCTCCCATCGTCGTCTGTCTTGGAGAAAGCGTAGAAAAATTCCCGGCCATCCCTCCTTCCGGCGTACGCCCGCATATATCTAGCTCGGAAGCGTTAACAAGTACCGCGGACAACTTGAAGCCATCGTCCTTCCGACATCCCTTCCGAACCCCCCGGAACCGTCCCGCAATGCGCCTCCTTACCACCCTCGTCGTCCCGCTCCTCCTTAGCGCCTCGAGTGCGCTCGCCTATCCCGGCATGGCCGCGGCCCCAGGCGAGGTCAACCCGCACGACGGGAAGTCCATGCCCGCTGGGATCTTCGACCCCAAACCCGCCTTCCCGCCGTTGCCCGCCAACTACGAGTCGCTGTCGGCGCTCGAGAAGCAGAGCATCTTGTGGGAGCGCCTGAAGCAGACGACCAATCAGTCGCAGGGATGGAACTCGGGGATCGAGAGCGCCTGGTTGATGACGACGTTGCCGTGGAACCCACCGTTCCAGAGGAAGAGTGATGAAATGGTTCCTGGCAGGAAGAAGTTCATTCGGAAGTGCGTTTTATCTTTCCCCATTTTCCGGCGCTCCATTCGTTTCCGCAACTCACGTCTCACTTGCCCCCTTCGCAGCCGCGGCGCCCACGCCCAGATCCAATTCACGCCCCTGCCCTCTGCACACAACTACACCGGCATCTTCGCTACAGGCGGCACCGGCCTCATCCGCCTAACCACCCTCGACGAGCCGCCCAAGAACCCCAAAGCCGACGATGTCCTCATCGCCCCCGGCGGCGTCGTGAAGTTCCTCATCTCCGGCCGCGAATCCACCAACCTGTTCGTGATTTACTCCCTCGAGGGCCAGAAAGGCAGCTGGAACTACTTTGAGAATGCACTAAGCAACCACCTCGCCCCGCCCACGACGTTGAAGACCAAAGCGGCGAAACTGCTGAACCAGAGGGTTAGCCATTGGTCGGAGATGACGGGGCTGTCCGGGCTTGCGAGCGTGACTCCCGACGGCAAGGCTGTGGAGAACCCCAAGGCGCCGTTTCAGTTGTGGCTGGTCCCGACGGATCAGGCGAGGAACAACGCCCCGAAACTCGTAAGCCGCTCTCCATACCTTGCCATATCGTTTCTGAAGATGTCCCACCTAAACCCCCGTTCCCCTCCCACAGACCGCCGCAACAGCATCCACCACCTTCGCAACCTCGTTCTCCGCCCTCCCACCTTCCACCCCACTTTACCACATATACGCCATTCCCGAACCGATTCAGCCGTACAACCCATCAACCCAGTACCACGCGACCGAGCTCTCCTCCGCCGAGCACCTCGGCGACATCACGACCACGTCCGAGTTCATCGCGTCGACGTATGGCGACGCCCAGCTGCATTTCAAGCACACGTCGTTCGATGAGGATTTGAAGTTGAGGCCGCTTTGGGAGGATGTTGTGAAGAGTGCGAGGACATAGATGTCAGAGTGAGGATGGGGTTCTTAATACCCTCGTGTTTCTGGAATGCTCGTACTGTCAGACATAGATCGTTGCACTTCGCACAACACTCGGTTTCCTAAAAACCAACAGAAAACACTGTCCCATCACGTATTCTTTTGTAGCTAGATTGAATAGAGGGCCCGCGAAGGCAGAAGCGTTGAGAAACGCTGCTTAGGTTGTCTTGAATCCCGCAATACCTCGTACTTTCGCCGTCTGTAAAGCTTCGGACGATTTTCTGCGCTGTGTTGGTTGATGGACCCATGTTTTGGTTAGCCGACAGGTTCTCTTTGCTGCGGCGCCAGTGAGCATCATGGATACGACAGCAGAACATTGCCTATGAAACGTTTGAGTCCTGCACAACACAGCGTTAAACCAGAAATGCGATGGGCTACGATTGCGGAACGCTGTCAGTCCATCACGGCAGCCAGGAACCCCTGTTTGAAAACCCGTCCGCTTCTCGGGCTCCTTGCCAGTAATCAACCTTGTGCGCACAAAGTTTGCCGAGATCTTGAAGCCCGTGAGACAACGTCAGTGAGTGAAAGGGTAGGCACGATCAGCATACGAAGCGGCACCTACCCGATCATTTTGTAGATGAATTCTGGAATGCGAGAAAGGAAGCACCTGTGCGAGTGTTGGGAATTCCAGGAGGATGCAGGCCACAAAGACTCTCAAGACTTCGAGCTGGTGTGCCATCTTTATTCATGTACGGCCCGGAAGTAAGTGATCGGAGAAGGCCTGGAACTATGGCGAGACACAATAGGAGATCAATACTCAGCGAAATCGTGGGACGGTCATATGAAACGCAGTAGGGCCGATAACTTCCCTCAGGTTTTGTGGCTCTTGAAATCAGTTGCTCCGTTTTGACGGGAGCCTGTCGAATTATCCGCAACGACCAAATCGCGTCGCCAACATCCTTATGGACGCGCGGCAGCGAGAAGCTGAACTTGATAAGTGCGGCAGTACTCGTAAACTTCAAACGTCTCAAGTCATATTTCGACTCACGAAAAGAGCATCACAAAAAGAATGTGTGGACAAACGCATGATATGACGCAAAAACTTATGACAGACCAAGAAACATGAAAACAGCGATGGGGGGGAGAGGTGTCCCGCAAGACACCAAAAAGCAAAAAAAGCGAGGGAATGTGAACCCTCACTCTTACAAGCCCAAAACCCCAAGAGGATGGAGGATGAATCTACATGCACTTTTGTGTGTTGGGGCGACGCGAGACACCGGCATTCGATGTTTCCCCACTTCCCACAAATGCATCAATTCCAAACATAGCAACGCCCTACTCGGCCTTCTTCCCAACCCCCCTCGCCGCATCCCCCGCCTTCCCGACAGCCGCCTTCCCCTTCTTGCTCGCCTCGGCTATCTTCCTCTTCGTCTGCTCCGCCGCCGAGTTCCAGTACGTCCCGACAACAGATGTCGCGCGGTTGACGTGCACAGAGGCCTGGGCGTGCACGTTGTTGGCGTGCGTATCGATGAGGGTCTTGTTGTGCTTGTAGATTAGGGGCAAGGTGAAGGAGGAGAGGGTGAAAAGGATGAAGAGGGTCGTGGAGGAGATGTAGGAGGAGAGGAGATAGAGGAGGCCGGTTGCGAAGAGGGCCTGGGAATCGTGTATGAGAATGCGTGATTGATGAGTGGGAATGCAATTGCGAGTGTGAGGTTCGTCCTTACCTCAGCAGACTTCTTGTTGTCATCAACAGCGACCAACGACGCGAGGGAACTGACGGCTACGTTGACAGTGTCCACGATAAAGTCGGACCAGTCACGGACGAGAGAGTGTGACAACGGTTGACGGTTCGCGTTGTCCAGGAACCACCTAAGTAATTGAGGAAGGAGAGATGTCAATAAAATGCCGTTGATCAGACCGATGAACGGGAAGAAAGCAGATCGTGTCAGCGAGTGGTCGATGGGCGGGAGCTGCTCGCTAAGGGTCGTGTTTAGGGGAGTATAGCGCCTTTGGCGCAATTGGGCTCGCTCCGCTCGGGAATCACAGTGGGCACACTCGGTCTCGTGGGCAATACTCACATAGTAGGCGGCTTCCTAACACCCCCATCCTTATCAGCATGGACAAAAAGACTAGCCCCATAAACCCAACCATTCACAAACACCAAATTAGCAAACGTAACGGTCCCAAAAACCAGTGCGAGCACTCTAATCGGCGAATAGTGGGCCAGGAGATAATTTCCACCCAAAATCCCACCAAGCACAATCGCACTAGCAATCGGGTTCTCCCAGTGCACGAGAGAGTGGATGATGGACTTGATGTAAGCTGATTTCTGCTTGTGAATTTCGGAGGTGGTTGTGGAGGTTGATTTGCGGGGGAGGGTTGTTGTGTTGGAGGTGGGGTCGAGGGTAGCGGAGGAGGTGGTTTTGGAGATGGGCGAGTCCGATTGGGGGATGAGGGGGGTAGTGTCGGTTGCGATGGGATCCATTTTTGGCGAGTTTGTGTGGTGGTGATGGGGGATATGTGTGTGTTGCTGTGTGAGTTAGGCGAGTATACTCTGAGTGCTAGTGGGTATGTGTGCGATTGATCGTCTGGGTGGGTGGGAAGTGACAAGTGATGTAAGGGGATGGGTATGAGCGAGATGGTCGTGGGAACAGCTTTGCTTGGCACGCCTTTCGCAACCAATACAGTCAAGCCTAGTACGGGAGTCACAGCACACTCACCAGAGCGAGGAACAAGGAGGCAGTAGTAGATAGCAGGAGCAGGGTCTTATCTGCGTGGACACAGGAGCAGGGTTTTATCTGCGTGGACAGTGGGTAGGAATAGGGAAGGAGGGAAGGAAGGAGGAGACAACAAGCGCAACCTTATATGGATTTGGAGTCTTGGCCGAGCGTCCCCTCTGTCCCTCTCTCTCTTTCTCTTTCTCTCGGGGGAGAGCGGGGACGTGGCAGGTTATGCGGACTGGGACAGTTGCGTAATGCCCCTTTTTTCTGTGACCATCCGCCGAGCCACTTCACTCATGCTACAACTGTACTACACTAACGTCCTCATCATAAGCCTCTCTCTCTCTCTCTGTCTGCTTCTCCTTTTGCTCTCCTTTTGCTCTCCTTGATCTTTTGCGTGCGTCCTTTGTCGTCGTCGTCGTTCGTTTGGACTCTGGGAGTTTGGACAGGAAAGACTCATCGCGTCACAGCGTACTCAATGACGTGGCCCTCCTCTCCGCTCATTTACCGACGCGCAGATGACGCTTGCTCGGCTGCTTGTCGCTGTGACGCCAACAACCTCTTGGCGTTGGAGACCGGAACTTGATGAACGCTGCCGAGAGTGGATTTGGACCATGGAGGACCCACGGCCTCCGCTTCTTCATGCAGTGCAGCAAGCTTGCCTGCATTCGCCAGGCATCCATTACAGAAATTGCAGATGCCGAGACAAGATATGCATTGGGATCTCAACGAAACCCCCTCCAGGAACGGGAGATCTGGGACCATGATGATTCCGTGCGACATATCGATAGTAGATCATCTTTGACAGCCTCCCGAAATTCAAACCTGTTCGTCATCTACGGTCACGTGACACGTGAAGCAAAATGGGAGTTGAACTCGGAGTTGAACTTTCGGCAGCACGCGTTTTTGCCTGCGTCCTCCACGCGCTTTGCACCCAACTTTCGCTCAACCATGTCACGGTCTGCTACGTAGGAAGGGAGATCTGACATTTAGTCACGGAAGGGAAATGGAGGAGCATCATAGAATCGCAAAAGCAATAGGAAGCTCGAAATCAACTCCGTTCCAAATTCCTATCATCTAGACAGAAGGTGGAATTGCGAGGGAATACTGGTGGTATCTCGGTATCTGACGGAACGAGCCTCTGATCTTTCAAGTGACACGGTTTACACAAAGGTTGCGATCAAGGCATTAAATAGCAGCGGACTGGTGTTCTCCACTTCGCTAGGGGGCAAACCTTCCGATGGAGATGCTCTTTGCATGCGTCTGGTGCACGTGAACCAACCACCCCTAGTCCTTCGACCGGTCCGCCGTGAGGCTAGAAATCACCCAATTTGCTCGTCAACCAGATTTTGTCTGAGAGCATCAAAGTGTGCCTGCATATTGTGAACGCACCCGGAAGCTCTCGGGGTGGGCCCGCTACCTGGTATGCCTGCGGGAACGTTACATCTCACGACACTCCACCATGCCCTACCGGGAAATGAGTATTGGCGATGGAAGGCGTTGGTTGGGAAGGGGGTTTATCAACTGCTGTAGTGAAACGGAGCAGCTTGAGTTTGATTCCACCGTTTGCATGGAAACAACCGCCGGTGCCTTGCGAAGCGGAATGGCGGCCAGCTCCCGCGTATTCGAGCAGGATGGATTATGCAACACGCGGTTCTATGCTCCCTCCTTCGGATCACGTCGCACGCGTCTCCTTTCGCATAACACCGAGCGGGGTTTTGCTTTCGTAAGGGTCTCTTGTACGCGGTAAGTGGCAGTTGTTAGGGGGGGCGTGACTAGAAATTGGTAACTCGTGCTTTTTTACAGCCAAAGTGAACCATTTGATTAACAAACCTAACCCCTTTGCCTTCGGTGAGTCGGCCTTACCGGCCTCCTACAATCAGGGTCTGCCACGCTCCGCTCGGCAACTGTCTAACAGTCTAACCCTAACCGGAGTTGCTCAAATTTAGCACGAACTACCCACTTCTAGCCATTCCCCTTGTTAGGGTTAGGCGCTGGACGTTTCCCGCCCTCCCTGTCGAACGACGCCAGATTCAAACGCGTCCGGTTTGCATAAGCCACTCGCTTACGCGTTTCTTGCCCTCCTTTGTCTCCTTCCACCTCCTTCCGCCGTCCTCCCGTCCGCAATATGTGGAAGGACCAGCCGCCCCCTCGCCCTCCTTCCCATTCTCCCACATTCTTTCACTCGCCCCACTTTCAGTCTCCGTTTCTCTATCATTCTATCATTCTATCCCTGAGTGTTCAACCGCCGTTTATCTCCTCAATGCTCCATGTCACTGGCCAGGCTTACTGTACTGGGGGTAACCCCACCTCTCTCCTTCTCCCCGACATGCATTTCCTTCGAGGTGTTGATTCCGAAGGTAAGCGTACACTTCGCGGACCCTTTGAACCTTTTGTCTGAACTAAACCAAGCAATTTTAATTGGAGAACTACATGAGCAAAATCTTCTCGAGGTATGTGCGACTCTTGCTCGCCACCACACTCAAGTTGAACGATCGGGACTTGTAAGAATTGAGGTCAGTGCGAATGCTCCCGGGATTTTATGTTTCTACAAGGTTATAGGTATCTCATCTCGCTGGGAAATGCCACAGGAAGGTGAGGGAAAAATAGGGGAACCATGGTCGAGTTTGCAGCGTGTATCATCACCAACGCTTAACGATGCAGAGACGAAGCCTGCAACTAAGCCGCGAGATTTGGCATTTGCACATTCCTTCTCATTCCTGTTCTCGTTCCCGTGGTCGTTGTTCCAATCCTAGTTCGCGTTCTCGTCCTGGTCCTCCTTGTTCCCGTTCGCCTTCCCCTTCCCGTCCCCGTCCTCGTCCTCGACCTTCAGCTACGCTAGCCAAGCGGTACCCGCAAATGTTCCGCTGTCGTTTTAGACGAAAAATCTATGAGAGGCGCCCGCTTCCCACGGCACGACCTGCTGGCACAACTTGCTACTCGCTTCAACCCTGTCGCAGGCGGCAGCTAGCCCACAGAAAACCACGCTATAGGTAACATCCCAGACCATACCCGGTGCCGTCTTTTCCGGGCTTAGAGTGTGTGTTTTCTGTTGGCCTCTGGAAGCCTGAAGCCTGAGCAGTCTGGGGCATCTGGAGAGTCTTGAGGGCAAACGCGTCCAAATCCAGTTGGGAGTTGAGGTGCTCTCTGCCTCGGCTTCCCTGTCGGACAGTCCCCACTCGCCAGACCCAGAACGCTGTTCACAGGACCGAAGATACCCGCCATACTGGGAGGTAAGGTTGGGGCGGTGGCGGGGCAGCATTTTAGAATGCGCCTCACGGAAGGGCGGGACAGCCGACAATTGACTGAAAGACCATTTAGCCTCCAGGATTATAGAGACACACAGGTTGCGAAGGTGATTGATCGCAGAGTCCTCTGCCGCTATTCAATAAACCGCCGACCCCGATAGTGTCATGAAGTCTCCAGGCGCTTCGCAAAATCCCCACCATCCCCCCTCCCTCCAACTCCAATCTCAAGCCCTGGGCCTCCGCCAACGCACCGCCTGCGTCGAAAACCACCTCAACTGCCCCATCTGCAGCGACATCTTCGTCCTCCCCTTCCAACTCCAACAATGCGCCCACATCTACTGCCTGAACTGCATCCGCACCTGGATCCTGCACAAGCGCGAAAACGACGCTGTGGCGGATTGTCCCGAATGCAGGATGGAGATCACTACGAGACCGAAACACTGTAGCTTTGCGGCCAAGCTTATCGATTCGTATGTCGAGGTGTGTTTGAAGACACCGAACGTGGGCAGCTCGAGGGGGCAGAGGTGGGAGAGTGAGATGGATTGGGATCAGTCGCCTGTACGGCATCCGCCTTCCTCGTCGTCGTCGGCACCTGCATCCTCGTCGAGGGCCAATCCGTGGGCGGCTGTTAAGGAGAAGATCGAAGTCGCACGCGCACTTTTACGGAAGAAAAGTTTGGCGAGAACTCTCCCGTTTTTTGATTTGTTCCCGAACGAGGAGGATATGTTGATTTTCGATCATGAGGACGGCGTCAGGTTTGGGATTCTGTTTGGATAGGTCGTTCGTGGAGACCAAGCGCTTATCGCCCCCTTCTTCCTACAGTCGATGCTCGCGCTGCCACTGGGAGATCGAAGACGGCCGCTGCGTTGGCTGCGGACACGTATATAGCAGGCCCCAGGGTGCACCGCCACATATAGCCGAGGAGGAGGAGGAGGAGGAAGATGACGAAGCTTACGAGGAGTCGTATACTTCCGATGACGGGTTTGTGGTGGATGATGATGAGCCTGACGATGACGGTGGTGGCGGTGGTGGTGGTGCTGCAGGCAGAAGGACAAGGCTTGTATACGCAGAGGATACAGATGAGGACGAGGATGGACAGCCAGGGCCAAGCACGAACGGCAGCCGTCACGCTGCGGATATAACCTCAAGCGATGACGAAGCGAACGCCGGCCCATCGAACGGCAGACATCGTGCGGATATAACCTCAAGCGACGAAGATTCATACGTCGGCCGATCCGCGAACGGTCATACCCGTATCGCCGCAGACAGCTCGAGCGGAGAAGACGACGGGAGTGCGAGGCAGAGGAAGCGGAAACGGTCTAGGTTGATTGATGATGAGGCGGAGGAGGTTAGTGAGGAGAGTGATGAGGACGGGGGAGATAGTGATGATGGAGGTAAGTCTGCTCTGGGGCTCCCATACGTCTCATTCGATCCTTACTTTCCATTATCCAGTTCCCCACCGCCGCCGCCGTCTAAACCCCACCGACCAAACACGCGCCTACCTAAACGGGCTAGAAGGTAACTTCAACAACGACACTTCCGAAGAAGACGAAGCCGACTCCCCCGTGCAGCGGCGGCACCATTACAGCACCGAAGAAGAAGAGGATTCCCCCGTACGACACCATCACTACGACCCGGAAGAAGACGAAGAGGACTCCCCAAGGCCCCGTGTGGCCCGTCACCCTTACGACACCACGTCAGAAGAAGCCGGCTCCCCCGTACAGCACCACCACTACGACACCGAGGAAGAGGATTCATCCTCCCCACCACAACCACACCATCACCACGACACCGAGGAAGAGGAGGAGGACTCCCCAGGGCCCCATGTGGCCCATCACCCTTACCACACGGCATCAGAGGAAGCGGACTCTCCCATACAGCACCACCACTACGACACCGAGGAAGACGATTCACCCTCCCCACCACAACGCCACCGCCCATCCTCCTCCTCCTCCGACGACGACGATAGCGAATCGGACCATATTCAACCCCGGTCTCGCCGGCATGTCGCGGTCTCCTCCCCCTCGGACGACGACACAGAGGAAGAAGCTACAACCACCCACTCCCCGCCCCTCCGCACCAGCGAATCCGACCCCTCCATCGACTCACAGGACTCGGAATCACCGACCCACGCACAATCCCAATCGGACTCCCTACCCAGCTCCGAATCCGATGCGGAAGCAGAAGCTGCGGATGTCCGATCGGTGTCCCCCGCGGGTACGCTTGAGTCTGGTGGGGATGGAAGTGAACGCGGGCTGGAGAGTGGGGATGAGGAGATGGATGTGGCGCATTCGGATTCGGAATCCGAAGAGGGTGCGGCTGTGAGCGAGGGTGGGGAGGATATCGAGACTGGGAGTGGTAGTTCGAGTGAGAGTTCTGAGAGTTCTGAGAGTTCTGAGAGTTCCGAGAGTTCCGAGAGTTCCGAGAGCAGTGAGAGCTCTGAGAGTGAGAGTAGTAGTGAGGAGAGCGAGAGTGGGAGTGATTGAAAAGGGAGGGCAAAACGATCTGATGTGAGGGTTATGTGGGAGTTATGGCGTATGTTTATAGGGGTATATGTAGGCAACATTTCACAATCACACATTTTTGCGTTTGTAAAAAGTCTATTCCGCCCTTTGGCGACCAGACAGCAAAAACGCCATCGACGTTCACCCTGCTCCTCTCAACCTATGGATAAATACAGCCCCCCAAAAGCGCTTTGTTCCATCCCTCTTTCATCCCCATAGTTCAAACAACAAGATCGTAGACAACCTTCGCCGCCCCACCCAGCAAGCCAAGCAACCCGAGGTATCCAAACGAGCCCCGCAATCTCTTCTTCGGGTCGCCGGTCGCGTACCCCGTCGCATACAGCACGCGCGAGACGACCCACGTGGCGCCGCAGACGGAGGCGTACAGGGGCTGCGTGAGCGCGGTGGTGGCGTAGAGGACCAGGAAGACGGGGTACACTTCCAGGGTGTTTTGGTGGGCGCGTTGGGTGCTGTGGGGGTGGGGTTAGAGTGAGCGACGTGGACGTGTAAGTGAGGGCGGGGGGTGCGTTACCAGTTAAAGATATGCTTTTTGTTCTTCTTGACGTCCTTCTCGACGTCCTTGTCGATTTCGGAGCGTTCGGCGTACACTAACCAAAGAGAAAATTCAGAACAGTTGGCCGACGCACGTGCGGGAGTCATGACGAGGGATATCAAACTCAAACTCATATCCCCCCTTCCCCTGCACTCAATCGACAAGGTGGGACAGTACGTACTGTACGGGTACGGCACGTTGGCGGCCTTGCGCGCGCCGCCGACTTTGAAGGCGAGCCATTGGAGCGTTAGCGCGGAGGCTGCGGCGACGCCGAGGGCCTAGGATGATCACGCCGAGATAAAAAAAAAAAAAGACGGTGGCGTTAGTGTGCGTGCGGGGGTGTGAGATCGTGGGGAGGCAAACTCACGTAGCCGTGCTCGGGGGTGACGGTGAGGAGGAGGGGTGCCATTTGCGTTCGTGGAGAGTAGGAGGGGGTGGTTGCGGGTTGGGTTGATCTGGGGGTGTGGGGTCGAGGTGTCCCTTTTTATATGTGTGGGGGTTGTGCGACGCCGTCGCTTGATTACAGTACTCGCCACGTTACCCTTTTGGACGCGTTCGGATGTGAAGGGAACGGGAACACCGACACAGGAACAACTGACCTCGGAACCCGCTGGAGCTTGTAGGACAGGCGGACAGGCGGGCAACTCGTAGAACTTGAAAGAACGATGATGCAGTCGGCAATGAAGCGGAAGCGGGATCTTCGACACCCTTCGCGTGACCTTCCCCGGCGCAGCCCGTCGGAGCTGTTCCCTACCCCACCTTTCTCAAGTCCGGCGGAGTGCGCTCGCGCTCGAGCGAGGAGACGCCACGTTGGACGGACAAAGTTCCTATGGATTCAGTTTCATACAGTACATACGTGTTCTACGGTCCCATAACACAAGATGTTAAAATTGCTGTTGATTAAACGCTACGAAGATGTACTGTATACAGTCTGCTCAGCTGCTATCCTACAGGCCACGCCGCACGCCCATTTACAACTTTGGATTAGCGATTGCCCGTCCATAAACCAAAACATCATCCCCCCTCCCATCACCCCCCTCCTCCTCCTCGCCCAACCCCCCAACTAAATCCCCCACCCTCGCACACCACCTCCCCACAGCAACCCCACTCGCCTCCGCGTCCCCATGCCCCATCCCGCGCAACACAACCGCATGCTCAACCAACAACGCCCCAATCAACACCCGTGCCATCGCGAACCCGAGCGTGCGCGCGTGTCGTTCACGGTAGCCGGGTGAGGCCGCTGGAAGGCGGGCGACGAAGCCTTCGATGCGTTCGAGGGCAGTGGTGAGGACGGCTACCGCGTGCGGGTACGTCTCCCTCCCCGTGTCGACCATCCCGCGCACCGTTTCCGCGTAAACAGGGAATGTGGTTGCGACGATTTTGAGGACGTCCAGCGCCTGGACGTTGGTCGTGCCCTCCCAGATCGCATTCACCTGCGCGTCCCGTAACTGCCGCGCCAGGCCGGTTTCTTCCATGTACCCTTGCCCCCCGCAGGCCTCGAGGGCTTCGGAGATGGCGGGGACGGCGGAGTGGCAGACGTACATTTTCAATAACGGGGTTGTGAGGCGTAATAAGGTGGTTGAACGTTGCCGGGCGGCGGGGTGGGGGGAGCATTCGGATTCGCCGAGGAGTTTGACGGCGTAGAAGAGGAGGAGGGTGCATCCCCTGAGTGTGAGTGCGACCTCAGCCAGTGTCGCGGAATGCAACGGTTGTTCCTTAAGTCGTTTCCCAAACACGACTCGAGATTCTGCATACCCCTTTGCGATACTCAACGCGCGCTGGAGATGAGATGCGGCCCCCATCGCGCTGTAGATGCGCGTGATGTTCAGTATCACGCTAATGGTTGCAACGCCGCGGTTAGGTGTGCCGATGGGTGTTCCCGGTAGGTTATGGAGTTCGAGCTCAGCGGTGGGGAGGGCCCGTGTGCCTAGTTTGTTTTTGAGGCGGTGGATGCGGATGCCGTTCAATTCCCCATCGGGTTTGCGGAGCTCGGAGTAGAAGAGGGAGAGGCCTTTGGAGCCCGGCGTGCCTTTGTGCGTGGGCGACTCGAGCGTGCGGGCTAAGAGGAAGGTCATGTCGGAATCCGTGGCGGAGGAGAACCATTTGAAGCCCGAGACGCGCCAATCGTTATCATTGGTATCGGTCTTGACGGCAACGGTCTCGGTCCCGCCGACATCGGACCCGCCGGGGCGTTCAGTCATCCATTGCCCGCTTGTCCAGAACTGGGTCGGGTCACGACTTGTCAATCGTTTGAAGGCACCTTGCTTCATCTCCTCAGTTCCGTACAATTCGACCAAACGCGCGGCCCCGTCTGTCATTGCCAGCGGACACGAGTACATTGCCATGCTAGGAGTACGAGAAACGCGAGGTTAGTAACGGTACTCGATGGACGATACCCATCCACCATCCGCTCGCGACGAGGAGGTTCGGTTGGGTGGTGAGGGTAGTATTGCGCCTTTGGCGCAATGTGCCCCGCCTCATGGCTCGCCTGCATCAAACATCACTGCGCCGAGCGAACCCCACTTCGCTCGTCGATCACCCCCCTTCGGTCGTCGCAGTCGCTCGTCAATCGCTCACTCCGTTCGCTTTACCTAGGACTAGCAATGAACAATTTGGCAAACTGATAGATCCTAGCATGTTCCCCTAGATCCCTCCTCCCCTGATCATAAGCAATGGCCACCAATCCCTCCCTCGCGGCCATCCCCTTCATCCATCTCCATCCCTCACTCGTCTCCAACCTATCGACCCTCCTACACCAATGGTCATACTGGGTGAGAGTGGGAGGGTGTCGTTCAGCGTTATCACCCCAGTGAGCAATATCGGACACGGCGCGTTGGCCGATGTTTATGAGGTCGGGGGTGATGCGGGTGAGGTGCGGGGCAGGGAGGTAGTGTGCGAGGATGCCCTGGAGGGCAGGGTCGGCGAGGTATTGGTTTTGGAGGGCGGGTGGGGTGAAGAGGAAGCCCGAGTCTGCGGTTGCCGGGGGTGGGGGAGTCATGACGGCGAGTTGAGACGACCCTTGTGCCTATGGAAAGAGTAGTGGGCGGAGGGGGTTGCTCTCTGGGGGCGGCCATGGCTTCCGCCTCTGTTCTTTTGTATTGCGGGTGGGTCTGGTGGGTTGCAGCCTCAGGGCAGGGGGAAGTGGAGTCCGCGGGGTTCGCTCCTCTCGCCTTCCCACGCGCCGCCTCCCTCTCCTCCTGCTGCTGAGAGAACATCCGACTGTGCCCCCTCGCCCGCTCCCACACACAGACTACACTGTCAGACTGTCGCTGCCTGAGTGAGTCCTCTTCATCTTCTCCCTCTCCAGTGAGCATGCCGTGAGCTTTTGCTGAAAGAACCCCGTCGTTCGAAAGATAACCGCGCAGCCCGGATGGGCCACCCGAAGCAGAACAGACCCCTCAAAAAACTGACGGCAGCTCACCAAAACAGCGTTGACCAAGACGACGGCGACGACGACGACGACCTCAGTGGTGAAGGAGAGCAGAGCAGGAGGGACGGACGGACGCGCGCAGGAGCGGTGGAGATTGAAATGTCGCCCGTGTCCGCAATGTCGCCCCGCCGGACGTCGGCGGACAACCTCACTGAGAACGGGCGAATACCATCCGGGCGCCAGCCAGGATCACTAGAAAGCGGGGAACGGCCTTCAAACTTGGTACACCATCACCCCCGGCATCGCCACCGCCGCGCACCCGACCACGCCGCTCCCACACCTTCCGACCCCACTGCCCGCCGCCAAGCCTTCCTCCTCCTCCTCTGCCTCGTCCCCGAATCCATCCTCGAAGCCATGCTCGTCCCCCTCTACCCCTTCATCGTGCGCTCCCTCCCTGGCATCCCAGCCACCCAAACGGGCTATTACACCGGCTTATTAGGCTCGGCCTTTTACGCCCCTTTGCTCGTCACCAACATCTTCTGGGGCCACCTGTCCGACCGGCACGGCCGCAAACCGGTGTTGATGATGGGAATCGCGGCGGGCGGAGCTGCGGCGACGATGTTGACGTTTGGGAGATCGTTTGAGGTTATCTTGGTCGGGCGGTTTGTTGCGGGCCTGTTTGGAGCCAACTCGACGGTGACAAAGGGGATGCTGGGCGAGTTGTTTGTGGATGAGAGCGGGAGGGGATGGGCTTATGCGATGTACGGCGTGCAATATGGAGTCAGTGGGATCCTCGGCCCGTTTTTGGCCGGATTACTCGTTGATCCTGCGACCAAGTGGCCTGGCGTGTTTGCAAGCCCGTGGTGGAAGGAACGACCGTTTGCCCTTGCGTGCGGCGTTGGGGTCGCGTTGATGTGTCTCGGATTCCTCCTGCTCACGACCTGCGTGCATGAGCCGCGAAAGGCGCGCGTCGGGAGTTACGCGAAGCTGGACGGCGGCGACGAAGACCTCGACATCGACGGTGAAGAAATCGACGATTTCATGGACCAGGACACCGCAGCCGCACACCTCTCCAAATCAACCACCCTCAAACCGTCTGGTGACACCGACCCAACCCCTTCCCCACACCACCCATCCTCCCTCTCCTCCCTCGACTCCGACTCCGACACCGAGGACCCCGCCTTCATCCCCACCGTCCAATCCTCAACATCCCTCCTCATCTCACCATCACCACGCCCCTCCTCAACCTCTACCCACCATACCCCCACCAACGCGCGATACCCCCTCCTAACCCGCCAAACCCTCCTCCCCATTGCCTTCTACTGCACAATCGCCTTCGTCAACATGATGGATTACGCCGCTCTTCCACTATTCTTCTCTTCCGGTTACATCGCCCCCTCCTCCCCCTCCCAGGGGTCACCACCCCAACCGCCCAGTGATACCCCGCAACCGATAATAGGCCTCCGCCTCTCCCCCACAACAACATCCCTATACCTCTCCACCATCGCCATCACAAAGCTGGTCACGCAGCTGGTGTTGTTCAGACCTTTACTGGCGAAATTGGGGAAATGGGGCGCGTTCAGGGCAGGCGGCTGGTGTTTCTGTGTCGGGAATGCCGGGGTTGCGGTCTTGGTCGCCCTGTTTGCCAACACCTCCGCGACCCAGTCCCAGCAACACCCTCTCCATGCGGAGAGGATACCACCACCCCAGCAACAACCGGAACCCCACGATCTGTTGTTTCTCTACATCCTCCCCCCGCTCCTCACCCTCGGCCTCGCGGAAGTCGCGGGTTACCTCTCCATCATCATCCTCATCACCGACTCCGTGTCCCCGCTCTACCTCGGTGCCGCGCACGGTCTCGCTTCCACTTGTGCGGCCGGGGTACGGGCGGTGGCGCCGGGGGTGGCCGGGAGCGTGTGGGAGTGGGGGAGCGGGGTTGTGGGGTATACGGGAGGTGGAGCGCACGGGTGGGTGGGGTGGGGGAGTGTGGTGTTTGTAGGCGCGGCCGGGGTGGCGGCGGGGGTTGTCGGGTTGGTTGGGTTGGTTAAGTAGGGGATAATGTAGATGTTGGGTTTAGGTAGGAGCCGGGGGGACGTACGTTTTCCCCGTCCTCACCCATTTTTTTGGGGCATGATGAACTCCTTCACGCCATCAGACTTGATCCAAAGACAGCGATGTGTTCCCTTTTGAAGCAAGTACATGAGCTGGAATAACTATACCCTACCATCGTTTCGTGCGATCATCTTTGGTGCAGACGAGGTGGAATCGAAAACGTCACAGTCTTATGCGAGAGAGAATGAAGGATACAGTACGCGGGCACTATATACTGTACAGATATCGCTCTATGGGATTCCGCGGACGGCTGCCCCATCATGCATGACACGTTCCTCTTCGTCGACTGCCATCGACGGTATCCGTTCAAACGACATACCATGAGCGGCGACATCCCACCGGGAAACACCGCATTGGTCACCCCCACACGGTGGACGCTGCCGCTGTGCGTTTGGAGGTACAGTATACTCCGATGCTCGGCCCCTCGGTTGCTCACTCGGCGGGTCTGAAACGGTGGGGAAGGGTACGGTACTGTGGCCGTTTAGCTGGACTACAGTACTGTACAGTATGCAGTTCAGCGAAGACGCATCCCCGCTTGCAAACATCCACCGGAGGCGTGCACGACGACGGGCTGAATCACAGAGCTACGGTAAACGGGTCAGCACACAGTCTGACGGCATCATGACAAGGTGATAGAGGAGCGGGGACCCCAGTCCTCGTACCGCCACCTGACCTACAGTATGGGCACAAATGACCCCCGGCATTCTCGCACCATTTGCTCCCGAAAACGCCAATGACGAAACAGTGCGTCCCCGTCACCTTGATGAGCCGGTTCACCCCATGCTTCTGGGGATCCGGAAAATCAGCGGGGTGCGCATCGTTCGGTTTGTAATGGTACGAGCAGCGGCGATTCCCGGGTTGTGGCCCCGAGTCGAGCAAGCAAGGGGAGCTGATATGTTCCGGTCTCGGGAGCTTCCCCTCTGCCCCACGTACATACAGTACATGGCCGAAACCGCAGAGTGCGTTCCGCCGCGCGAAACACTGCCTGCATCCCCTGAGAACAGGGGGACCGCTGCTGGTCTTTTATGCATTTTGTGCTCGGTGGTCGACGTTCAGGTGGGCATGCGAAGGCGACGTCATGCCCGTCGTCGCTCATCAGACTCACGTCTGGGTCGTTGTTCGTGTCGTGGCGGGGTGAGAATCGGGAGATGCTTGATTCCCATCCCCATTCCGTGCTGCGTCAATTGCAGATCATTTCAGGTCCCCAAATGCCGAGATGGGCTGGTATTCCGGATACAGCGGAGATAAACCCAGCGATACTGTACAGTACTATCCTCGGTACGCTCGCGACTGGAGCACCATTCTGTGCCTGCGTGACCGACCCAAAGGAGCACCCGATACTACGCGGCAACTTGACTGAGAGCGTTTTTTGTCCGTCGCCATCAAGGCGGGCCCTCCAACCTTACAACATGGCGACGAAGTGGGGCCGTTTGATGTTCCTGTACGTCCGGAGATCCCCCCAGTCCCTCCCGCAAGCTGAACGCCATCAAAGTTCGCAATCTTTACTGTACATACGCCTGCGCAGGTGTTTCGAGTCCTGTATGTCGAGCAGCCAGACAGGTCGCTTCGCGAACCAGATACAAATTAGCAAGCCGTCGAACCACTGTCGATGGAGGTAGCAGGTACCGTGTTACAGGTCTGATCGTCAGAACATATTCGGCTTTCCGATATGAGGGCTGAACGATACCGATGTTCCTCATCCGCGCATGGACAGATATGTCACCAGCCAACCACCCGTTCCGACGCCAAAAGCCGATCTCTGCAAAGACGCCAACAAAAAAAAGTCGCAGTGATGACACGAAACAACATGGCGTTCGCCTCAAGCCCCCCTCCTCGTATTCACCCCAACCCTCCCATTCATAAATAAAAAAAACCCCAGTCACCCCGGAGGCTCCCCCCGCCCTGCCGATCCCGTTTTCCAGATGTGTACCTGTGTTCGCCGCGCCCCTCCGGTCCCTTTGGATTGTGGCCCTGCGATCTATGGCGCGCGCGCCCGAATTGCATGGCGATTGTGCCCGGATATAATAAGTGGCAGTTCATGCTTCTTGAAAAGGGCGGCGGGCGTTATCTTGGGGACACAGGTGTGAGCGGTGTGTGTGCATGCGACCGTGGTGGTTGGACAATCTTATCTCTGGTAGGTTTTTGGTTTCGCTTGGGAAGGGAAGGCGTGGCTGGTTTGGGCAAAGTCACCATCTCGCGCTCCGCACATGGGGAACCAATGCTACGGCTCGCCCACGGCGATGGGATTCGGGGAGGGTTTTGGGGTCTCAGCCTCTCGTCGTGGGTCTTTCACAGCGGGCACGAGAATGCGTTGTGGGAAGTGGGTCCGGAGCACCCGCGCACGACAGCTCGGTACCTCCCTCCCAGCCATCGGACTTTCTCCATCCCATCCAAGCCCCCATCGTCCCGGCAGACCTCGCACACAGTTCGGGCCGTCGTTTCCAATCGTATCCCAGTGGCACCCAAATAATCCAATAATAATCCCACTCAACCCAAACTCGAAGCCATCTTCAAAAGCCCCAACAAAAAGATTTCGTCATGGGTGCGCAACCACCATCCATCCGACCCATGTCTCCCCCCTCCCACGATCACAGTGGCAATACGGCCACAAAAACCCGACTCGCTGAGTCGCTGAGCAAAGCCACCGTGGTTACACTTTTTCATTCCCACCGCCGGAGGGGGCAATGAGATGGATTGTGTTTCGTGATGGCGGGCTGGCCATGATTGTCCCCGGTTTACGCTGGGCGGTGCGTAGATATGATACTGAACGTGGGATGAATACCCGGCTGATATTGCGGAATTGGGCTGGTCATTTGGCTGATGAATCTCTCTTCGACACTGGGTCCGCACGTCGCGAGAACCAATCTACGTATTACAATACCCACTCTCGGAGGTCACAATATACCCTTCTTGAACAACGGATGACCACCGGCCGTCAGAGAATGCGCGCATCAAACGCCACCAACGGAAAAGGTTGGATGCGCAGAGGAAAGCCAAACGGCTGAACAAAAAGTGTGCATGCAACACAGCACTGCTCGTCATGGAACACCAGACGAGACGATCCCAGCCCAGTGCACATCACCCGTCAGCCGGTACACGTCGTAGTGCGGATCCCACATCCCAGCGTGACGGATCAGGACAATGACCGAATGGGCGAACCGAACAGGAAACGCATTCAGCAGAATAGCCCTTCTGGAATGGTATTGTCTATCTCAACGTACAGTGCGAAAAGATATCGCTGAACTGTCCCCCGTACATTCAGTGTTCCCCAACTTAACGCTCTAAGTCCCCACATAACATCTATACGAAAGGCCCGCAAATGAGAGCGTCTGAGGCCGTGGGAGACGGTTTTCGCATCCTTACCCTCCCGTAAGCTTTCGTCATGATCCTCTCTCTCCCATAAGCTACAGTATCATCGCCATCCGCGAACCTGACAGACAGAAAGACAGGAGGGCCGCGGGCGATCGGGTGTATGATTCAACGTGCGGGTGTGTCCTGCAAGGGGCGGAACGTGGTGGAAACATTTTCTCTCAACCCATCTCTCTGTTTCATTTCGCGGGCACAAGAAGCTTACTTCAACTTTCTGCCTGCGATATACCCTGAAATCCGTATGGAAACCGTCCCTCCCCCCACCTTCAATGTCCTTTTTGGCTATAGAAAAAGATACGGGGGATGGATCTAAGCCCTGCTCCCGACCGACCGCCAAAAAAAAAGTGGGCGGCATAAAAGAGAAAGCTGGCTTGCTGCGTTCCCCCTCCCGACGGTACTTCAGATTTTCTGGAACCGGTTTAATTGTATCTCGCTCCCTCCGTGTTGTGGACGCATTCCAATTCCTGCAAAACCTTACACACACACACACACACACACACACACACACACACGAAAACCCCAAATTGGTTTCGGTTCGTTCGGAAACCCGGAAGCTATCATCTATCGACACATTTCGGGCTCGTTACGTTGCACCGGCGAGCGCAGTTTGGAATACCCAACGTTCCTCTCCTCGAGTGTCATCTGGAGTCGGGACCCATTCAACCCGCACCGCGCAATACCCCAATATCCTTCATCGTCGTCGGCCATCACCGCCACGGACGTTACATAACAGCACACCGCAAGAAGGGGTTGTCGTACACCGTTCATCAAGGTTTTGGCACAAACGCGCGCGCTTTCAACTTTCAAGGTTGTTACATCGTATATCGCTTATATTGCGCGCGCCACCCCTTTCGTCGGCGACATTTATCCCGTCGGCATACACATACATACAAGAAGGTTTGGCTTTCACCACCCCGTCGGTCGCAAGCAAGCAAGCAAGCGCCAAGCCGCCTTCCAGTTCCCCCCCTCAACGGCCCAAACTGTAAAAGCTTTCCTCCCGTCGGGTCTGAGCTATACCCCTCTCTGCCCCTGCGAACGGCCATCCCCTTTTTACCCCAACACTCCGGCTCGTTCCACACCACAGATCGCTCGGTCGGTATACCGCAACCCTCGCACAACACCGACTCGGGATCCCCCGGAACGGTTCAGGGACGATTTCAACGGAAAAGGGTGTTCTTTCCGACATCGCACATACCCCATCTAAGATATTAGCCACGGCAACACCTCTACGACTCGTCTTCCCGCACATATAAGACCTGGGGAGGGTGCTAGCTCGTGCCAGTATCGCAAAAACGCCTCGACCCCGTCTGCATCGCTTTCGTGGCTTACGCCTTGCTTTGCACACCATACGACCCTTCGTTCGCGCATCGCACGCATACCCTTCCGAGCAGTTTACTCGCAAGAGATAACCAGCCTGCCTTTATCACCATCCATCCACCCTCGCGATATCTCTTCCTCACGTTGTTGTCCCTTTGCCTGTCAAGCCGAGATTACGCGTGTGCCCAATTGATCGCCGGAACACGCACGCAACACGCACGTTCTTCTTCCTGGTCCTGTTCCCATCCGCTATCGGGACCCCCGTATCCCATAGGAACCAACACACACACACACACACCCACGCACACTCACTGGCATAAGCCCAGGGTCCTCCCCGCAACCCCAAAGAGACAACATACTATCTCTTGCAAGCCTCTCCTCGCACAAAGCCTCCGTCGTCTCTCATCACTGAGTGAGGACATACAGTACCCTCCAGTAGTTTCCTTCGGCTTGTGTAAAAGATCATCGTCGTGGTGTGGGGATCGTATCTCGCCCCCCAAGCAAGAGTCGGTTGCGATTGGCGTGCGCATGTACAAGAACCTCCCGAGTTCATACACTTCCTCCTCCGTTTGTGGGAAGTGCATGTACTGTATATATATTCACGATCTGGCACTGAGGATCGGTCCGCTTGACTGTGCAACAGACCTGCCCGCATATTCCCCAAGTCCTCCTTCCCCGGGGGCCTTCTCATCATCATCGGCCGTCACCCACGACATAGTACGGTATACTAGTACGTAGGGTTCATCGCAAGGTTCACTCACCGCGCTCCCATTCCTTCACGGGAGAAGTGTGGCGTCGGAAATCAAGGGAGGCCAAGAGAACGCGTCGAGTCATCTCTCTCACACACGGAGGGAGTAGGGTCTGCTGCGCCACCTGACAGCGTCCCGCTTCGACAGTATCCCCCATCGCGCTGTCAGCATCCGATCTAGTATCAAGCGTCAGGCTGCTTTCATCCGCTACTTACTACTAGTAGTGCCTGCCTGCAAACACTCGTATCTGACGGAGCACCGCCCCGCAATAACACCCACTCGGCAATCTTAATCAATCCCTCCGTGTTCGCATCCACCACGCGCCCCCCCCCCCCCCCGCCCTCTCAGTTAAACCTTACGCCCGCCCACAAAAACGCAAACTTGCAATAGTACTCCTAGTACGTTTCGCAAGCGGTCAAGGCACTCCCATTACAACTCAGCATCATCACTTGTCAACCGCTATTTCCCCCCCCCCCCCCCCCCCCCCCCGCCCCCTTCGGATCTAATCATCGTTGATCAGAACGCACTGGCAAAAAGGGGGGCTTATAACTTGCGACAAACCCGACATCATAACAACCCGTCCATCTATATCCATCCCGATCCCACTTCCCGCCATCGCACATTCCCCGCCCGTGGGAGAGGCATCATAGCAACAGCAAGAACCACAAGATACGTAGAAAGAAAAGGTCCCTACCACCGTCATCATCCGCCCGTCCAAAAGAGATCAGAAGCAGTGTGCGCAGTCTCTTTCGGCCCGCCATATATATCTCCTTCTTACGAATCGCTCGATCCCCAACCGACGACGAACGATTTCGCATCTGAACTATACCCTTGAATGAGACTGCATCTCATAACTGCATTCTACCCTTCCACAAAGCATTCCTACCGCACGATGCATGTCTCATCCTCATCAGCACAAACGGCCTTCGACGATGACCTCCACGGCAGCGCTCAAGCCCCCGAAAACTTCACCCTGCCCACCCTTCCCACGCTCAAGATCACCTCCCTGATCAACTCGGGGTCCTTCGCTACCGTCTACGAGGCCATCGATACCTGCTCGCGCGAGCGGTATGCGGTCAAGGTGCTGTCCAAGAGCAATCTGAGCAAGACGCATATGGAGACGCTGTGGAGGGAGGTTGGGATTATGAAGCGGATTCAGGCTGAGCGGGTGCCTGGGGTTGTGAAGCTGTTTAGGGTCGTGGAGAATGAGCATTGGTTGTTTTTGGTGCTGGAGTATTGTGAGATTGATCTCTATGATGTGAGTATCGTTGCATTGCCCGGGACAGCACTTGGGATCATCGGTCTACTCTTTGTTGAATGCGTCCTCATCATCATCCTACCTCCATTCCTCCCAGGCCATCACGGAATCAAAACTACCAGCCCATGCCGTACTTCCCATCTTCCATGCGCTCTGCCGAACCCTGACCCACCTCCACTCCCTCTCCATCTACCATCGCGACATCAAGCCCGAAAACATCCTCCTCACATCCCCGCACAGCGCCAACGGCTACTCCCACTCCCGCCGCGTCCGCCTCGCCGACTTTGGCCTCTCCACAATCTACCCGTGCTCAACCGACCTCGGCTGCGGGTCCAGCCGCTATATGGCGCCAGAATGCCTACCCAACGCACGGAAATGCGCATGCTCAACAGACAGCGGGGCCTTCAACTCCGACCAAGACGACGACGACTGCGACATCGCCCGCGCAGATCCATACGACTGCGCCAAAGCCGATGCATGGTCCCTCGGTGTCGTCCTCGTCAACCTGGTCACGGGCAAGAACCCCTGGTACGAGGCCGACCTGTCCGACCCGCTGTACGCCGCGTACCTGTCAGGCAAGCCCGTGCTCCGCCACACGTTTGGATTTTCGGAAAAGTTCGACAATGTCGTGAGGTCGATCCTCGATCCGAACCCGGCTACAAGATGTGCCGTGCGTGATGTGTGGGAGAAGGTCAAGGCCGTCCGCAAGATCTTTGACCCCATACCCCCGGAGGTCCCGCTCCCCGTCACATCGTCATCGTCACCGGTCGTCGTCGAAACCCTCCCAAAAACCGTGATCGTAACCCCCACTTCATCCTGCTCCTCCACTAACGTATCAGCGGCCGTCAACCCCCGCATCGCCGGCCTGCAACTAACCCACGACGCCGACTTCTACCGCCCCTCCACGCCCCCGATCAATACACTCACAACCTGCTCCTCCGCCCCAACAAACATCACAACAACATCCTCCCTCTTCACCGCCTCGCCGCCGCGGTACATTGCGACCAACGGCGCGATGCATGACTCGGGCTTCGAGTCGGAGGAGCTGTGTGAGGTGTTTGGGAAGGAGGAGTGTTGTACGATCGCGTCGCCGGGGAGGGAGGACGATGAGGATGTCTTTATGTTTGATGCGCGGGTTTGACGCGGGTGGCGGCGATACATCATACCATCCTCACCTGCATCAAACGGCATCGGGCGGTCCGGGAACTCATCCTGCAAGGTCTCCCAACTCGCACGCGACATACCACTTCGCCGATATACCCCCCGCATGCAACCCCACACACCGCGATACACACACTCCAACACACCCATATACCCTTCCCCCACATCCCCCACCCAATGCACACTCACCCATGTTGTTCTTTGTACCTAACACCGCCACCCCATTCAGGGGTGTGAGTCTGTGTTGTCATTTCACTTTATTCATCAGTAGTTTCTCATCTCTGTTGTTTTCTTGGACGGCTGCGTGGGGGGGGGGCCAGGTGGAGGAATGTGTTTGATCCACTTTTTTGTGACCCCTTGTTTTTTTTTTTTTATATGTGATTTTGAGTGTACTTTTTTTTTGCGGGAGTGTGCGAAATGCAATACGAAAAATGAAATACAATGGAATCACCATATGCGCTTGAGAACATTTGCTGACGGCTTGAGCGTAAGGCGACCGTGGCATAGATCAGGCTGCTGGAAGATTTTTGTGAGCCTGATGCGGACAAAGCTCGCATGTCCCATGGGGCTATGTAAAGGCCTGCCTACAATTAGTCATATCATACACCTCAACTCACGTAATGATGGTGGTCTGATCGAGTACCCGGATGTGTTCGGGTCATGCAATGGGGTTTTACGACACGATCTTCCAAACGAGATAGAGTCTAAGGGCTGCTAACCACAAGAAGGTCGTAACAGGGCATGCTAAAATACCGTATACATAAGCTATGCTCCTGCTCCTTCCCCTCGACCTCGAGCCCCGTCCCATTCCCGGTTCCAAGTTGCCCGCCGGCCGGCGAGAAGGTTAGGATTCTTTCCGAAAATGGAATAGACAATGACGAGCTATTGGCAACGGTACGTGGTAATATCACACCAGAGGTCTCCCAGCCTCATAACTTGACAACCACCAGTGTGGATCAGCTGCATAAGGAAAGAAACTGGGACGCCGGTCATTCAGACATTGCATCAGGAGATGCACGGCTGAGGGAGATGCTGTTCGGGCGTACAAGTAGAGACAATAGACTATGGATGGACGGCCAACATGGGACTCTTGACGTGGCATATCATCTCTGTCGCAGCAACCTTTACGCATATAGAACCTGCGCTTGAGATAGCACGACCCTCTTGAGCTGATCGAGGTGGTGCCCCTGCCAATGGTATCGATGTTTGGAAGGACTGCGTTTTTTGTTGCCGGAAAAGGGACTGCGAATATTCGACTCAGCGAACGTTCGACTGGAAGTCACAACTCAGCGTGTTCTTTCATGACACACGCGTTGCGGAGCTCTGAAGAGATGATGGAGCACGTTTCCTATCCCTTCAAGCAAGTACCTTTGTACTAGCACGGAATAGCAGCGAACTGCGAACTACACCATCTGGTCCGTCTATACTTCGATACCACTGCAGTATATACCGATATCACCTTGTGAGCCCGTAGACACCAGTCTACTACATGGCAAAATGTCGGGGAGAGCGGAGGTGTCGAGGGGAGGCGAGTTTATGAATGGAAAGCCAGAGGTCCTGAAGGGTTAGAGCCGTACGTAGTCTAGCATGGGGTGGACGAAGGTGCGGTAAATGCGGAGTCTATAGTCCAGGGGGGCCAGGGTTAGCTGAACCGAGCGAGTCGAGGGAATGCGGTGCTTTTGCGCACCAACGAACTCCAGAATGCGCTTTCGAGCGTCGACGCCCCGCCCCTCGCGATGCGCTTACAGTACAGTAGCTTCGCCCAAGATGCAAATGAGTAAACATAAGCGAGGAACCTGCATCTCGCCTGAGGGGATCCACGCGAGTATATGAGGTCCCCAAGCGGACTTGATTGCCCCTTCGCATCTTCCTTCAAGCATCACAGTAAGGCAAAGTGATTTTGCGCTCGCCATCTTGCTATCGTATTACGCAGATTCGCCCCGAAACAGTCGAGGAGAAGCCACCGTCATGGCCAAGCCTTCTGCCAGCGCCACCCCAGCGGTGGTTGGTGCTCAAAAAAAACCGTCAACCTTCCGCATCTTCGGAGTGGGAGCGCTTACTGGAGCATCCATCCTGATTGCTCTTGTCGCGTATTTCTTCTCCTCCGAGTCGGCCCTCATCGTCGAAAGAGCTCGCCGTGCTGTAGCGAAGCCTTCTCCCACCTCAACCACTACCGCTGGTCCCGCTGGGGGAACGAGCGTCAGTGGCGTGCCTCTTACTGGCGTTATTCACGACTATTACTGGACAGTGACCAACTTCACCGGTAAGCTACCTCGCTCCGTACATGGCAGGGTCCGGGGAAGGCAGTATCGCTGATGCTGCTATTTTTATTGTGCCATAGATGCTCCTGATGGCGTTTCCCGCACCGTTCTCGGTATCAACAACAAGGCCGGCGATCAGGCTTTAATCGGTAAGAGCCGCTATGCTCGCTTCCCGTCTGATTTCCTCCGAGGCTCATGCTTTAGATCTTCGTCGTCCAACAGAAGTGAATCTGGGTGATCGGATCCGCGTACACGTTCAAAATGGTCTCACGGCTCCGACTTCGATTCATTGGCACGGAATGTTCCAAAACGGAAGTAACATCATGGACGGGCCCTCGGGCGTGGCGCAATGCCCTATCCCACCTGGCAAACTTTTCGTCTACGACTTCATTGCCGCGCAAACGGGCAGCTACTGGTGGCACTCGCACTACATGGCGCAATACGTCGACGGGCTGCGTGGACCGCTCATCATCCATGATCCAAAGGAGAAGACCAAGTACGGCTACACGGATGAGAGGACGCTCACTTTGGCAGACTGGTATAACCGCGCCGTCTCCAACGACTTGTTGGCAGGTTATCTGGTAAGTGTATTTATGATAGGACCCAGGTTTTCCATCCAGAGAATGATCTCCTGACGCGAGATGCCGTCTACTCCGTGCTACACATTAGTCGCCTACCAACGATGGGAGTGAACCAGTCCCGGATTCAATCCTCGTCAATGGAAACGGCTTCTTCGAATGCAAATACGCTTCTGTGTCTCAACACTGTGTTGCTAAAGACTCGACCACAGCCATGACGCGCATCACTGTGAATCCCGGAACGACCTACCGCTTTCGCTTGATCTCCATGTCTTCCTTCACCGCTTACAACTTCAGCATCGACGGCCTCAAGCTGACCATCATCGAGACGGATGGCGTCGACACCATGCCGTACGCTGTTGATCGTATCACAATCAACAACGGTCAAAGGTACTCCGTCCTGGTCACCACCCCCCCCTCGACCAAAGCCAAAAATACGTACATCCGAGTCATCGGACTCCATGACTACCCGTGGACCGCCTCCCCTCCTGGGCCCGGATACCGTTTCAACGGCGCCGCGATCTTGCAGTACGCTGCCAACAGTCTTGCTTTGCCAACGACGGTCATGCCCAAGACGTTCATCGACTTTGACCAGTCAAAGGTCGGCTCGAACCCCCCGGCTGCGGCCCCGAGCAAAGCCACCGTGACCGTGCCCATCAGCTTCACTTTCCAAACCACTGCAACGGATCCCATCCAACGCGCCTATGTCGCGTTTAATCCTGACCTTAAGAACTTGCATACGTGAGTCCCACCCTTAGTTCCATCTCTACGCCTTCCTCGAATCAGCGTGTTGAAAATGTTTTTTGACTCCATTAGGTACCAAGCTCCAGCGACGCCTGTCCTCATCGATCTGCTCAAGAACAAGAAAACCGTAGCTCAGCTGTCGCCGAACTCTAACGTGTTTGAGCTCAAGCGACACGATGTGGTGGATCTCATCGTGATCAACTACGACGGGGGCGAGCATCCTTGGCATTTGCACGGGCATACGTTCTGGATCATGGGCCAAGGCACCGCGACCGCCTTCTCCCAGATCCCGAAAACCTTCCCCACGACGAACCCACCCCGCCGTGACGTCGTTACGTTGCAAGCCTGCGATCTCGACCCCACCTCCGGCGATTGCGCTGCCGGCAACTTCGGTTACACCGTCCTGAGGTTTGTCGCGGATAACCCCGGCGTGTGGTTCTTCCATTGCCACATCGAGTGGCACATCGAGGCCGGACTCGCGCTGGTCTTTGCTGAGGCCTTGTCGGATCTCAAGGCCGCCCAATACCCTTTTCCCCAATGCTATACCGATCTTTGTGTCTGAGATTTTCTCCCCTCGGGAGCTCGTCTAATCGATAGTTCTTATAACACCCTTTCCGTAGTGTAGCTCGTTTTATGCACTACGGATACCTTGTCATTCAGCACGATTTGTTGACCTGCAACCCGATTCTTTACTTTTCGCAAGATACAACTGACTCAGATACAGCTGAATGCTCTTGATGCGCTCCAACACTGCTCTGAAGAGTGCTGCTATTCGATGTGCTTCATATTCACTTGCCAGACACATTTGCAACAGTCGTGCCTTGTGATTGTGATTGAGCCATATCGATAACAGAGTTGAATTAAGTAGGCGTGGCACCTAGAGACACACCCCCTTCCCGCCCCCCGCCCCCCCCCACTATAAAAAGGACTCCACCGGCGTAGATTAACCTAGGAGGCATTTCACAGCTATAGACTAGACCCTAAGTTTGTACCATATAGTGCCCATTGACCCAACTGACTAGCGTACCTACACCTAGCAGTTCGGGGTTGCCAATATACGGACTACCCCTAAGCGTGTCTACTTGTGCGGTTAGAATAGGCCTTTTAGTTGGTCTCTGCCTTTTACCTTGCACTCTCCACAAGTAGATCATCTCCACCTGCCAACAACCCAAATTAGGACCAATCTCAGGGAATGATTGACCACTTTCACATTTTGGGGGCCTGGCCGGGAAAAGAAGAGACCACCTTCAAGGAAAAACAAAGAAGGGATTACAAGGAATGTATGAGGTCATTTCCAGGAACGGATTGGCAAACCAGATCTGCCACCTTACAAGAAATCTACCCACGCGTCGAACTTTCTGTTCCCCTACGGAGAAGCGAGGCACCAATCTCCACCAGAGATTGAAGATCAGACGATAGATCTTCACCAAGATCAAGATAGCGAAACTGGCTGATGCAGAATTTGTCGCTAGTCTCCGCTCCTCAAGTTGTCCTCAAGCCGCTTGTCAACTCAGCAAGCAATTGCTGCGAGTAGTGCGACAGCCCAACAAGCATTCAACAAGCAGAAACGGCAGGCCCTAGCAGGCCAGAAAGTACACAAGTCCAAAGCCAAGGCTAAGTCCAAGGATTCCCCGTCTGAGGAACCCTCGCCCAAGAAATCTTTGCCCAAGGAATCCTTGCCCAAGCAATCGTTGCCACATCAGGGCTCAGCATCCGGTGTGAACCCGTCCCGGACACCGGACTCACCTAGCAGTCCAGCTGCCCCCATACCAAGCCCACCTAGCAGTCAAGCTGCCCCCGTACAAAGCCCACCATCCCTGAACCCCCCCGTGCATTCCCTCATTCAACCACCATCTACCTATCCATCCATCCATCCAGCCACTTGTGAAAGTGGTTGATTATTCCCTGAGATAGGTCCTGAATTGGGTCGTTTGCGGGTGGAGATGATCTACTCGTGGAGAGTGCAAGGTAAAAGGTAGAGACCAACTAAATCCCTATTCTCACCACACAAGTAGACACACTCGGGCGTACTCCGTATATTGGCAACCCCGGACTGCTAGGCGTAGGTACGCTAGTCAGTTGGGTCAGTTCAGCTCCTATGGTACAAACTTATGGTCTAGTCTATCGCCGGTGAGAAGCTCTCTGGGCAATCTACGCCAGTGTCGTCCTTTTTATAGTGGGGGAGGAAGGGGGTGTGTCTCTATCCTACTACTGATCACGCCTGGTCACGCGCGCACAAATACTAATCTTCCCTTGAATCTCCCCATCTCCTCGTACGCCGTCAACCTGATCACTTTCACATCCTCCTTTCTTTTGAGCTTTTCTCTAGGAGGGATGCTCAGAAGGGTTCCGCCGTGGTACTCCCTGTATTTTGCAGAAACTAGCCTGTTGCACCATGTTGCCATGGTGTGGTAGCCTCCGGGAACCTCCGCTACTTGGGCGGATGTGTTGGTGAAGTGGTGTTTGGTGTTTGAGGTCGTGGGGTGTCATAGGTTTGATCAATCAGCGCGCGCTGGATGGACCAGCGCGGGATGGTCCGGCACCGGATGGTCTTCTCTTCCCCGGAGTCGTGGTCTGGGTCGCTTCCTGACAAGCTTCTGCACTGAGCATGCGTACTTTGAGCCACCATCTGCGGAGCACTTCTTCGGCGGCGGACTCGGGGAGAGGGACGACGTGTTAGTAGTCAATGAGATTTGTCATTGACGGCGTGATCTTAGCTCGGAGCGTAGGACAACGTGGTTGCGGGGGTGAGGTCGGAGGGGTGGTTGGGTACCGAGCGACAATTGCGTCCAGGATGTCGTCTATGGTGGCGTGCTCGCTGGCGGCAAGGCTAGAGTGGGCTCTGCGGGCAGCCTCTTGCTGCTTGAGGCGGGCGATCGGGGCGAAGTCGTCGACGCCTGCGGTGTAACGGGACAGCATGTTTCGCCTATCCTCGTTGAATTGATCTGGGTTGCCGATTTCGTCGCCGCTGGCGATGGAAGCGTGGCCAATGTAGATGTCTGGCGACTCCCGCAGGCTGGTCTTGAGGGTTTCAAGCTGACTTTGAGGGTCGAAGTTTACGTCGGCCTTGGGACGCTGGGCAATGTTGAGCCCCAGGGTAGGCCATGAGCCGCCTCGGTACTTCACCCAGGATTCCCGAAGTTCCTTCCGGCTATGGGCGTGCAGGACATCCCGTGGCGTCGTGGTGGGCTGACTGAAGCGCCAGGTGTTGAGCCAGCTCCATCCGGGCAGTGGTCCCCAATCCAGCACTGTGTGTTCTGCTAGCTGGGTGCGGACCAAGGTGATTGTGCCCGAGGGTGTGTCAGCGCAAAGATGCAAATTGCGGAAGGGAAGGTCTCCGGCAGAGAAGCTTGCGTGGACGTATTGGACGGTGAACCCATGGTTGTTGGGGTTCACGTGGCAGTCTACGGTCACGTTGTTGTTCATGAGACACATAGTGCCTGGAGAGCCCGCAGGAATGTTGCGTTGACATTGGGCAGGGAGGTTTTCGATAACCTTGCTTCGTCAAGCATGGCCAGCGGGGTCGATCCATTTGTGGCAAATGGCCATGCGCTTGTGTGCCGTGGCATTCTCCGCAAATTCTAGGTATTCCGCCCACCCAAGGCCGTATCTCACATGTCGACTTTCTGCTGTGGGGCAAGAGAATTTGCCCTTGTTCGTCTCTCCCCCGGAGGTTGTTGTTGTCCACACCCCTCCGTGGAAGACCGCCTGTGCGTCCACTGCTGGGTGCCCCCGTTGAGTTCTGGACCTCGGTGATCCTCCGTGTTTTGCTACGCCCTTCGGTGTCCTCCATCCTTTCGCTTGAGCGAACCAAGGTCTCCGGTGGCAAGCCATTTCAACGCCAGACTTGACCACAATTCAGACTCTACTCTTGGCACGCCGAACATCAGCTCCTTGTCCTCCGGCTTGTCTTTGGGTTTGGGGCCAAAGCTCGCTACGATGACCTCAAGTTCCCAAATGTCAAGGGAATCGTCCTGATCGCTTGGAACGCCCCGGAGAGGTGGTACAGTCACAGAAAGAAGAGAAAAATGTTTGGGGAAGGTAGGATTCGAACCCACGCCACCTGGGTGAGAGCCAGGTGTCTTAACCACTAAGCCAAAATATGTGTGTTCCCGTTACACCTCCCCTTGACTGTACCAGCCTCTCGGGTAGATGTACCAATGTATGGGTATGATGGACCAGTGGATCGGTCTTATTTTGGTTGGAGTACCAGCCCGGGTCTCTGGTCCGCTGTGGGGTACACAGGACCCGGTCGTTGGTATCGCAGTATATGTATGGTCCCGAGAAGGACTTGTGGTGCTACCATGTCAGGGGAATCGTTCCGATTGCTCGGAACGCACCGGAGAGGTGGTACAGTCACAGAAAGAAGAGAAAAATGTTTGGGGAAGGTAGGAATCAAACCCACGCCACCTGGGTGAGAGCCAAATGTCTTAACCACTAAGCCAAAATGGGTGTGTTCCCGTTACACCGAAGGTTGGGGCCTGCGTGGATAATGTAGTTGGGCTGGTCGACGCGGGGGAAGGCGGCTTGGCGGAGCAGTGCTTTTGGGTCCTCTAGGTCATCGCGAGTCTCTTGGATGCCGTGCTCTTTGCGGAGGGCCTTGGCACATTGCGCGTAGTGCGGCTCCAGGTTGGTAATGACAACAAAGACAGCTTGCTTCAAGATCAATTCCTTTTCCCAGTCTTGCATGTGGTTGTGAGCCTTCAATCGCGAGGTCAGCACCGGGTGGGGGAAGAGGCCGTGCACACGGGTGTACATGGTGGATGGGATGTCCGTATACTCCTTGTATAGGCTCGGGAGCATGACGGTTTCGATGTCCCTCCCTGCGACCCGGTATGGTTGGTCTTCCTCCATATCCCCCTCCCCTGTCTTCATCGCAAAGTCGGTCCTCCACTTGCCGTTCTCATGGTCATAGAGCGCCAGACGCAGTCCCCTCCTCTTGCCAACATTCGGATGCTTGGTTGCAGTGATCTTGCCGTTGGTTTCCACATTCTCCGGGAGGTCTTCTAGGCAAGGCGGGCAAACGAAGTTGTACCGGTCGAAGTAATCCCTCAGGACTTCTTCGTCTTCCTGAGGGTGGGGCAGTCTCTGGTTGTTGAGGCATTCTGGTTGGTAGAATTGGCTTCCACAGCAGAGGTCTCCGGTTCGCATTGAACGACGCGACCATAAATGGAAGCGCTATCGTCTGGGTTTTTGCACATGCAAACAGCTCCATTCTTCTCTGCTCCGTAGTACTCCTCTTCCTCTCCGGGCTAGTATTCCACGTTCCTGGTCAGGGTCTTGCTCGTGAACTTGTCCTCTCCCGGGTCCAGGCCGGAGATGCTGAGAGTGGCGGAGCCAATGATTGCTTTGCCTCTTTGTCGTTCTTCCGGCTTGTCCAACACCTTCCTTTTCTTGCGGGTGTCAACAGGGGTGTCGCCGGCATTTTGCACGGTGATTCTGGGCAAGCGGATTGGCGGACGTTTGTTCCCCGTTGCTTTCACTGGGGCGGGAGTACATGGGCCGGTGGCTTCTCTGAACCCTCTGTCGATCTGAGGGGGAGAGTTGTCAACCTCGATTGGTTTGTGGGGGTACACGGAGCGGACGGGGGTACTGGGGACCGGCGAGTTCGTTCGTTGGTTCTTGGTCCTGGTTGTTGGTTGCAGGATAGGCGGCTTCGAGACTGCATTGGACAGGTCTGCGACGCTCGATCTTCTTGAGGAGGTGGTGGAGGATCTTCGGGACATGATGGTCGGAATTCTCGTAGTACCGGTTCGGGGTTGGTAGGGGGGAAGGGGTAGCAAAGGAGCATGGTGGGGAGCGGTCGTCGGTTGGGGGCTGGTGAGGGTCGAGGGGAGCGGCTTCTGACGCTCGCTATTTATGCAGTTCCGAAGAGGGGGAATTCCCTTGGGTTCTGGGCGTTCTCTCCCTTCTGTCCTGCTGAGCATTCTCTTGCTGCACGTCTTGCTCCCGCTGGGCTGCTGGGTACTCCACCGACGTGGAAGATGCCAGTTGGTCCGCGGTTGCGTGCTTTTTTGCCCATTTTTTTTCCTCATTCCCTGCTCCTGTGCCAACCAGCTGACCCTTTGTCCCTCCTTTGTTCTGCCTCCGCCCTGCGGCCTCTGTGGTATCCCCGCTCTTATCTCCTCCCCTTTTTTGAGACTTCTGCGTGGATTGTCTCGTGGTGTGGCGTAATTGCGTGCTGTCATCGCCGGTCTCGGTGTCCGCCGTAGGTGATTCGTCCCCAATGGTGATGCCGTTTGCGCGACAGTACGTATCCAGTAGCTCCTGGCCTCCGAAGTCCGAGAGTACCACCCAGCTGTCGTGCCCAGTGTTCCAGTTTTTCCAGTGGACTTTGAATTCCCATTTCCCGTTGTTGCCCTGATGGTGGTCAACGATCTTCTTGACCTCCCATTCATCCTCAACAATGCCATCAGAGCCTTCCGAGTCCGTGTCCGGGTCAAGCCCTCGCTTCTTCAGTTCGTGGGACGTCCCATACGTTCTAGGCCTGAATGGCGTCTTCTTCAGGACTCGAGCTGTCGCTGTCTGTGCCAATTGAGCTGTCGAAACTTCCTCTTTGTCCATCTCAATTAGCTCCGTCGGGTCCAGCGGTCGTCTGGCTGTGAATGGTCGCATGCGTCGGATATGGGCTGTCCGGTAGATGACTTCCACAGGCGAGACGAGTTCCATAAGCTTGTAGGTGTGGCCGGTGCCGCCGACACCTACTACCCGGTGTGGTCCACTCCATTTGGCAGCGAACTTCTTGATGGCCGTCGCATTTTCCACATCGGTCGACTTGCGAAACTGAGGAATTGCCAGCCAGACTCGTTCTCCTAGCTGGTAGCTTGTCTTCTCGGAGTTCTTGTCGTACCACACCTTTTGTCGTGCTTGGGCTTTGGCGACGTTCTCCTTGGCCAAATCCCATGCAATCTGCAGGCGCCTGACAATCTCCGCTCGCAAGTCCCCGACCGGCATTGCTCCTTTCCCAATCGACCCCCATGGCTCCGTTGGCGTGTGGGATTTCTCCCACAAGAACCCCGGCATCTGGGGGTCGCGTCCGAACATCAGGTAGAATGGCAGCTCCAAAGTCGATGATTGCATCATGGTCCGATGAGCGAACAAGATGTACGGAAGTTGTCGGTCCTAGTCGTGGTGGGTGTACTCGTTCACGTAGGTCTGGATCATCTTCGAGAGCGTCTTGATTGTGTTCTCCGCAAGCCCATTGGATGGTGGGTGGTAGGGCGACGCTAATGCTGGGGCAGCCCCCAGTAGTTTCAGGAGAGCCTTCTGAACCTCGCTCGTGAAGGGCTGTCCACAGTCCGACGTTATCACTCCGGGGACCCCGAAGATGGTGAATACATGCTCCATAAGTGCCCGGGCAACCGTGTACGCCTTTGCGTCCTTCAATGGAATTGCGAAGCAGAATTTGCTGGCGTAGTTGATGACAACGAGTACGTATTTGAACTTCGTATTCCTTGTAGCCGGCAAAGGTCCGAGCGAGTCCATTCCGACCCGCCACCACACGTCTCCAATGACAATTGGGTCCATCTCTCCTCCTCTCGCAGACTTTGGCATTTCCGGCTTGTGCTGATTGCATTTGACGCAACTGGCAAGGGGATTGATCATGTCCGCCACGCATTCCGGCCACCAGAAGGACTGTTGGAGTCTGCTGAAGGTTTTGTCTCTGCCCAGATGTCCTGCCAACAGGTCGTCGTGGCAGAGCTCCAGGCATTGTCATCGCAATTTGGCCGGTACGACAATCCGTTTGAACATCCGGCGTCGGTACCCGGGTCAGCGAAACTCTTGAATTGGATAGAGTATGCCGTCCTGGACGCGTAGGTCGGAGATCGTCCGTAGCATGAGTTGCTTTGTCAGGACGTTGTCTGGTAGTTCTCCCGTTTCGAAGAATGCGAGGTACCAGGCAACGAATTTGTCCTCCTTCTGCTCGCGTTCAATCTCCTCGGCGAACGCTCCTTCCAGGGTAATGGCACCTGGTGTTGCTGAAGTCTTCCCCGCGGCGGCCGCTTCTCCCTCCATCATGAACACCTCGTCTTTCCTCTCTCTAGATGCTTCTTCAATTGCCTCCATCTGAGTTCCTATCGACCTTTTCTCTTCCAACAAGGCTCTCGATAGGAAGTCGGGTACCGCGTGAGACCGTGTGCTGCCGGCTTTGTACCGAATCTCCATCTGGTAGTCTTGGAGCGCGTATCTCCATCGCGCCCACTTTCCTGCCAGGTCTCCATGCTTGGCCAGTGCCAACAGCACAGAGTGATCTGTTTCCACCGTGAATGGTTTTCCCCAGAGGTAGTACTCGTCACGGCCCAGTGAATTGCCAATCCCTCTCTCTCCTTGTTTGAGTACTGCTTCTCTGCATCCGTTAGCGACTTGCAGATGAAGACCAGAGGGATCTCCTTTCCGTCCTTGACCTTGTAGAGCGCGGCTCCAAGTCCGAGTTTGCTTGCATCGCACTTGAGTACCAGTGGGCATCCTTCCTCCGGAAATTCCAGGATTGCCGCGTCCGTGATTCCCTGTCGCAATTCCTCGAATGCCTTTTGCTCTTCTGGTCCCCATTTCCACACTGTGTCGTTCTTGAGCAAGTCGTATAATGGTCGAGCAATTTGGCCGTACCTCTTAATGTGCTGATGGTGGTAGACACACATTCCGAGGAGGCGTTGCAACAGATGCTTCTCTTTTGGGGGTTTGATGTCGACGATCTTGGTCACTTTGGCTTCGTCTACTGATATCCCTTGGCCGTCCACCTTCTTGCCGAGGAAGTGAATTGCGTGTGCCGCGAAATGCCACTTCTCCAGCTTCACTCGTAGTCCAGGTTCACGAATGCGGGTGAGGACTTGAGAGACATGGGTCATGTACTCCTCGAACGTGTCGGAAAACACAATGATGTCGTCTGTAACATCAGAGGAAACGTAGACGATATTGGGCCCTTCTGAGAGGGCTGAGAGCAGTGTATTGTAGTGAAGAAAAAAGTAAGAAGCTCTTCGCAGCGGCCGCTCGACTGACAGCTTTATATATGGGCTGCCAGTGGGGCTTGCGTGGCTTCAGTGAGGCTTGGCGCCTTATGTAATGTATCACCGAGAGCTCGGGTGGCCAGCCCGGGTTTCGGATCAAGTAGAAGTAAAGAGATATAATATGAAATACAAGTGAAGTTGAGATATCCCCGACACCTTCCTCAGATCCTGAAAAGGGCGCCGAATAAATAAGAGGTGAACTACGAGGGATATGTGAAGAAAGGGAGAGCTCATGTTCATTTTTAAGTGTTGACGCACTTGTTCATTTTATAGTGTTGACGCACTGTGTGATGTGTGTGTTTGAGGCAAAGGCGTCCCTAAGCCGACGTTGTGTATGATGTGGGTGTGTAAGGTCGGTTGTTGCGTCGCTGCGCATGATGTGATGAAGTTTACGTTGTAGTATTGTGCTTTGAACTGCGCATGAAATCGATAATATTCCGACGCCGATTATATGCCCAGAATCTTCGACGAGCGAATGAAATCACCTTTATACGACAACGTCGAAATACCGTTAAAACTTCCGACAATAAATCGACACACTCGCGTTCCCAACACTCCGACGATTACCAAATACAACTACCTTTACCGAAACCTTGCTTCACAACAACGTTTTGTCCTCGGATACGACTGACATGCGAAAAATGTAGGCGTAGGAGAGGATCTCACACATGAAAGCACCCCCGACCCGACTCTCAACCAACCAGAAGCTCCCACGACGCCCGAAACGCTGAAGAAATCACCTGCAAAACGAGAAAACCAATTTCCGGTGGCCGTATACGCCAAACGTTGCAGAAAACCCCGAGAAAAGATTAGCGATAAGACTGTATCAGCGTCAAAATTGCGAATGGAAAAAGGAAAAACTACGTAGACCGCCGCAGGAAAAGAGAAAAAGACCCCGATGTAGCTAAATCCTCTAGAGACAACTAGTAGAGAGTTTGGACTTTGACAAAATCCCGTAGCCTAGAAAAATCCATATAAAAACCCGCCTGTTTTCCCCAGACCTTTGTACAATACGCAAAACCCAGATCAGTGCATGCAGAACACAGATCCCGATAAACAACAGAGCTTTCTACTTCTCTACTCCCGACGACTTCTTTCAGTTTCAGATAGACTTTCAAGGCGCGCTCATAGACCCGGAGAGCTTAG